ATTGGGTCCAGTATAGCTTTACTTCTAGTTCCCTCCTCTACCTTTTGGATGACAAAGTTGTTGGCTAGGTTGGTTAGGAATCTGTTTGATCTCCCTCTCATTTCAGAGTTTGTCTCCCAGCTGATATCTGGGTAGCTGAAGTCTCCCATTACTACTGTGGTATGCTTCCTATATACATTTGTTAACTGGTTGGCAAAGAGTCCACTTTTTTCCCTTTTATATATTCTGGAGGGCTTTTATCCTTTTATATATTCTGGAGGGCTTTTATCTTTGATCATGTGCATTTCTGTAGTATTCTCTTACATATACTGCAACTCCTCCTCCTCTTTTTCTAGATCTGATTCTTTTGAACAATTTGTATCCATCCATCAGTCCATTACAATCATGGGTTTCGTCCCACCAGGTTTCTGTAATGCCAACTATGTCATACCCACCCTTGTATACTATTGCTTCTAGTTCATCCTGTTTGTTCCCCAAGCTTTGAGCATTAGTATATAAACATTTAAGACTTTTATATCTGTCCATGGGTTTGTTTCCTGGATCTCCTGATGTTGTTTGATTTTTTTTCCTCATCACTCCCTACCTCTTTGTTTGATTTGTTTTCTTGGGATTTATGATTTGTTTTATGTTCTAGAGATTCTAATGATTGGTCACCCTTCCCCCTCAATTTTAGTTTAAAGCCCTTCTAATGAGTTGGGCCAATCTTTTTCTGAGTACATTTTTCCCTGTTTTTATGAGATGCAGCCCATCCCTTGCCATGTCCTTCGCATAGGAAAGGCACTCCATGGTCCAGGAAACCAAAGTTTTCTTGGCGACTCCAACCCATTAGCCAGTGGTTTATTTCTAGAATTTTTTTCCCTCAATGAGTGTTGGCCTTTTATTGGAAGTACTGATGAGAACGCTATCTGTACTCCTAGCTCCTTAACTTTATTGCCTAGTTGCTTATAGTCTCTCAGTTTTATGCTACTGAGTCATTATATGACTCTGAGATTCCATTATTCTTATGCAGAAATAAAATATGGGAAAGCAAGTGAAGCTTTTTGGGGGGGGGGGTTGCAATGGTACTGAGTTTGAACAAAAGAAATGCTGAACGGGCAATAAAATTGCTGGTTTCCTTGTTGTCCACAACTCTAATGAACTCTATTACCCTTTGTCAAAAAGCAATACTGATGCCATTTGCCATGGCTGATGATGGAGCTGTGGAATGGGGTGTTTCAAGGAGCTCAGTGGTTCATTTTCAAGCTTTTTGCCTTGCATTCATCATGGTGAGTAATCTGACATAATTTTTCTCTTATATCAGTGATGGATTCCCCCCCCCCATTGAAAATTCAATTTCACCACTCTTCAAAAGTAACAAGTGGGTTCTGGACAAAACAAATTAGAAATCTGATTTCATTTTATTTACTTAAAAGTAAGCCAATAGGATATCCAGAGAGCACTCCCATTGAGAAAGGCCCTTGGGATAAGCTTTCTTGATAAGGACCTCACCTTCAATGGATATCTGATACTCCTCCATTTTATTGTTCAGACCATTTCATAAAAATATATCTCAATTAAGAAGGGTAAAATAACAAACCCTGTCTTACTTGAAAAATTTTATCTATGCACTGCATTTTTCCCCAATACCAATTTCAGAAATAAAAGCAAACAGCAAGCAAAGGAACCAAATGCCTCCATTTGGTCAAGAAATCAATAAGAACTAATCCTCTCAGTATGATTTATACAGAACACTGTATGCGTTTACTTGGGTTGTTATTTGACAAAAAATTGCCACTATATAAAAATAAATAAGATATTAGATAAAGGAAGCATTAAACCCAGATTGCACTGGATGATTCTGGGACAACTATGGTCTTCGTCCAGCTCTATGTACACTGCCTTCAGCTTCAGAGAAGAAAAGCAGTAAGTCAACAACTAAATTTCACCAAATAATTTTTTCAGCTATTGAATTGCCTTTTGGAAGAAACTTTTACTTGGTACATTTTCCTTTGAAAAATAGATCCCCCATAAAACTTGTGCAATCCTCTCATATAAAGCCTTCCCTAACCAACAATTTCATTCAATACAAGACAAAAATGAGAACTTCAAAATGAGAATACTTTCTGATATTCTCCCTTTGAGTGTTAGAAAAAGCAAAATATTGAAAAGCATATGAATAGGAAAAACAAGGTAGCTGAATTTACACCTCATGGTTGTAGAATCAAATTACAGCTTGAAATGTAATTCTAGAAGAACTTTAGAACAGGGCTTTTCAACCTGTGGTACATATACCACTGGTGGCACATTGGCACCTGGCAGGTGGTACCCTTACGATGGGTTGAAAAGCACTGTAAGAAAAAGTGTAAAAAAAAGTGTAAAAGTGTAATGTGGGGATGAACTGAAGCGGCAGCAACACAGCACAGGCCTGTGGGAGAGCCAGCTGGAACCACGGTGTTGCTGGGGCTCTGCTGAGCGCTTAGGATCTGCGCCGGGCTCCAGCTGACTGGCGTTCTGGAAGCTGCATGCAGCCTGGGGAAAGGAATCAGTTGCAGCTACACCAAAGACAAAAGAAGGAGGAGGGGCTAAACATGGCCACGGGGTGTTTACATTTGGTCCGGGGCTGGCCCACCCCAGCTCACAAAGGAAAACACTGAATTCAGCAGGCCAGAAGGCAGCCCAGCCACCGCGTCCCTCTGTTTCCTTCTCCTCGCCCCCTGGGCACAGACGCAGTTGCCACTCCTCGCCATAGCTGGGGCAGGACTTGTAAGTACCTCCGTCCTGCAAAGGGCACTCCCGCCTGCTGCCATGCCAGCAGCCCCGACTAAAGGCCGTGTGCTGCAGCCTCACCCAGCCAAGAAAGGGGGCGGTAGCCAAGATTACAGCAGATCTGCAGCTTGTCAGGGGAGCTCAGAGGCCGCCCAACTTTATTCTGCAATTTCGGGGTTGGAAAGTGGAAAGGCAGTGCCGTGTTTGTAGGCCTGGTGGCACCTGCTGGAAACCCTCCTGCTTCCCCCCCCCCCACAGCTACCTCCTTTGGAGCCGTCTTGATGTCAACGGGCCTGCCGGCATAGATCCTCCAGCTTCGTCCTGCAAAATGCGGCTTACCCACCGCCATACTGGCAGGCCCGTTGGAATCAGGACAGCTCCGAAGGAGGTATTATTTATTCTTGCCTTTAGCAGCAATAACTACGTTGTTTGATGACTTTCCTAGCAACCTGCAGGCTGTGAACTTTCCGTTCCCCCTTGGGGAAAGAATTCAGGACAGCTAGATTTATTTTTCCTGCTAATTACACTATACCTTGTGGGTTTTTTAAGAAGCGGAAAAAAAGTTTCTGAAAATTAAAGGATGTATGGATTGAGTTGTGAGACAGGGAAGGGAAGTACATGGACTTATGCACTTCCAGTTGCTGACAGGTGTGCCACTAATATTCTGACTGGACACCTGCATGCTCTCAGGGCCCAAAGATTATCTTCGTTCTTCATAGGGTGGTGTTGTGGATTAACTACATTTTTCTGGGTTCTGATTTTAAGGTGAGTACCCTGAGCTATGGAGGCCTTAGATCAGGGGTTCTCAACCTTGGCAACTTTAAGACTTGTGGACTTCAACTCCCAGAATTCCTCAGCCAGCAAAGCTGGCTGAGGAATTCTGGGAGTTGAAGTCCACAAGTCTTAAAGTTGCCAAGGTTGAGAACCCCTGCCTTAGATCCTCTTCTTAAATACATAATAATAAAATAACAAGAACTAAAGGCTCAAAGGGAAGGCAGATTAGAAAGAACAAGACCTTTTGGGGCCTTCAATTCCTTCCTGTTAAGAGTTTCTTAATAAGGAACTGCTCTTCCTTCCTAACATCAATAAAGGTGGTTTTTCCAGAAAATATGTGAAGAGCTGAATTGGTGATTTAACTAAGTTTTCCTTTTGGCTCTGTTTTCATCTATATATAATGTATGTTTAATTGAGGAGGGCTTGGAGAGATAGAAGTGGCCAATATGGAGGCTGCACCTTGCCCTCCAGATCTCTGTCTCTCCTGCAGATCTCTGGAAAGGAGGAGGGGGTGGCAGGGGAGCTGTGTGAGGGAAGGCTGCCCCAACAAACCAGCATCCTTACCATGCATGACTGGAAATGGGACTTCCCTTTCCAGAAGGGCCAGCCTCCCTTGTGCAGGACCCGGGAGCGCTGCTCCCCTGCCACTTCCTCTTGCTCTCCAGAGATCTGTCAAGACAGAAGTTGGACTTGGAGGAAACTACTTCCTGTAAATGTCTTCTACTTCCTGCTTTGCCAGGAGGGGGCACCAGACAGGGAAACACCAACGATGTCTTGAGATTGGGAAAAGAACATCTCTTTAGCGTGCTATCCACACACACACACACACACACACACACATTCCAAGCTTGGAGACTTGTATCTACACCTGAGCTAGCAAATTGCCAATCATGCCTGGGCTTAGGGAGAAGGCCCTCTCCTTTTTCTGTGGATAAAAGTCCCCAGACCTGGAATGCAGTGTGTGTGCGTACATGTGTGCGCACGCATGCACTTGGCTGCTAGCAGTTTGGGGAGGCGAGGAGATTGTGGGACACCGTGTTGTCCCCACATTGAGTTAGCCAGTGCGGCTTGTTCCATTCCGACCCAGCTGTCTTGAGTCAGCTGTGTCCAGTGAGTGGCGTCGAGAGGCCATGCCCACCTGCTAGGTAACTGGTGGTACTCAAATACTGCCATATCCTAAAAGTAGTATAATCTCTGAAAAGGTTGAAAAGCCCTACTTTAGAAAACATCCATAGTATCTTATAGTTACAAATTTGTTGATATTCCTTCAGTTTGATTTTCAAAATCTGGCCTGCATGGTTTTCCCCAAAAATAAATAACGTACACTACAGCTTATAAAATAATAACTCTTTTTAGAGTATAATTAAGTTGGCTAAACCAGGATGAGTTAATTTTTGTTCCATTATGCATACAATGAAGAGGGAAAAGACAGTGATCCATAATAACATCTTATTTATTAATGCTTGGGACTATCAACTTACCGGTTTCCCAAACTCCAATTCCGAAAAGAATTTATACCAAGGCTCATTCTTTAAATCTATCTCTTCTGGGCTTATATCCCGAGGCTAAAGAATTGGTAATATAAGAATGGAAGAAAGAGAAGGACAATATTATGCAAAGAATGCATAGGAAGACTGTTAAAGATGCCACATTCTGTAATTTTTTTTCAACAGTTTCCTAATTATCAAAACTGGAAGGTCCTATCCATAATTTTAGTAACAACATGCAATTTTATTCATACCTCACTGAGAATAGTTTTTGTTACACTCATTTCTAAGTAAAAAATGGTAGTGCATTGTTGTCATTAAAGGAAAGTATTCCTAAAATAAATAACCTCTCTACATGTTACATTTGTGTTATTTTTCTAAAACAGGAAAACCAATAAAGAAATAAGAGATATCAGAATTAACAGAGTTGGAAAGAACCTTAGAGGTCATCTAGTCCAACCCCCTACTCAGGTAGGAAACCCTATACCATTTTAGGCAAATGGCTGTCCAGTTTCTTCTTAAAAAATTCCAGTGTTGGAGCATTCATAGCTTCTGGAGGCAGACTGTTCCACTGGTTAATTGTTCTAACTGTTAGGAAGTTTCTCCTTAGTTCAAGGTTGCTTCTCTCTTTGGTCAGTTTCTATCCATTGTTTCTTGTCTTTCCTTCAGGTGCTTTGGAGAATAGCTTGACTCCCTCTTCTTTGTGGCAACCCCTAAGATACTGGAACATACACATATATACATACACACACATACAGAACAGTTGATGGAATTAGGTATGTCTGGTTTAATGAAGAGAAGGATGAGGGGTAACATGATATCTGTATATGTATATGTGTATGTATGTATGTATGTATGTGTTTGTGTGTATATGTGTGTGTGAACCCTTTAAACTTTTACTTGCAGTTATGTGTAGCAATTGTCATGTTTCCACGCCACTTCTATTATCAGTTAATCTCTATCAACTAGAATAAATAAATAATCAGTTCCTTCATATTTAACTTCAATGTACATTTCAAGTTAAATAATCACTTCCTCTAGAATTCTAGTGGTACAACTTCATCTGTAAGCAAAAACAAAAAGGATATGGGGAATGACTGGAAGACAATGAATTGAACTGTCAACAGTAATAAGAGTGGAAGAATCAAAATGTCCTTCTACTAACACAACATGAGAACAAAGCCTAGAATTCCATCTCTAATCTCCAAAGCAATTTACCTGAAAAAGTCAAGATTTCTATTTCCTCAGCTGCCGGATAATATCATTCTCTGAACATGATTCGCTTTTTAGTCTGCTCCTGCTACAACATATTACCTTATTTATATCAAGTATGGCATCTTTAACAGCACATGAGGTAAGTGAGGACTGTCTCAAAAATAGCACATGAAAAGATAAAACTCTACACCCAGGGGTAGGGAATATGGCTCTTTTATGACTTTTATGACTATGGTGGCTCAGGAATTCTGGAGGTTGAAGTCTAAAAGTCATAAAGGGGCCATAGTTCCCCACCTCTGCTCTGCAATAGTTGGCAAGGAATTTTAGGACAGAGGTCCCCAACCTTTTGGGCACCAGGGATCAGTTCCGTGGAGAGAGGTTTTTCCGCGGAACGGAGAGGGCATGGTTTTGTGTGCTGCCTGCATCTCATGGATGGGGCTTTGCTTGTTTGTGCAGATCGGTTGCTGTCATGTCGTAGCCCAGTTCGGTCCACGGACTGGGGGTTGGGGACCCCTGTTCTAGGACTTGTAATTCAAGTTGCCAAAGTTGGGAAATCTTGCTGTATACATTTAGGATACATTTAGACAGCAAATGTGTTAATGGTGAAGTTGCTAAGGGAAACATAATTTCCTAAAAAAGAGAGTAGAAAGCTTCTATTCTATTCATGCATGAATATGGGTTAAGAATTTAAATAACAATTAAGAATGGCATATCTAAGAACTGGATATACCAGGAACAATATGACAGTTAAGGAGTCATATTTGGCTACTGTATTCCATGTTAAGGACAACATATAAAATTAATGACATGCAGTTCTTAGAATCACTGTACAAGAAACAAAGAATACATGCAACATTTCTTAAGACACAGCTTTGGTATATAAGATACAGTACAATCAACCCCGAATATGTAGATTGGTGCTTAATACAGTCCCAGGTTTGCAAAGGTCTTTTGCTTCCATATCACACTCATATTAATATGATTATCAATTACAATTCCAAGATATAGTAGTAAGTACTATTACAAAAGCTAACTACACTCAATTCTATTCCTGAATATTTTCTTACAGTTTTTTTCCCCTCAGAAAAATGTTTCACATTTGTCTTTTAAATTTAATTCTGTTACATTTAAATTCTTAAGAAACAATTCAAAAAATTGTTTTGAATGTAGTTTGTGTCTTCTAGCAATCCTGTTCAAGTTTGTTCTACCTGGAAATTTGTTAAGTATTCTCTCCATGTTGTTATCCAGGTAAAATACACCCCAAATTTAAGGGCTTGGGTATTGACATGTGCCAACCACCTCCGCTTTAATAAGAAACATTTTTAAAGGAAATTTTGATTCAAAATTGTCATGCTATCTAGACCACATTTAACTAGCTTGTTAATTCAGATTCAACAGGGAATTTTGTCAAATGTTTAATTGAAATCAGTGTTATTACATCCACAGCATTCCCACAATTTATTAAGGAAGTTAGCCAATAAAAACAGAGAGATACGTGGCAAATTTGTTCTTGACAATTCTATCACTGATCATATAGTGATATAGATCTATATTCAGTGATCACATCTAATTTAGCTCTTTCAAACCATTCATTTTTTTTAAAATTCCCCTTGATGACCAAATTACAGTCAGCTAAGGAAACTAGTCTAGTGGCCACATTACAGGGGGAAGAATGTAAATCACCGATTTGTTCCTCATGTTTTAAAATACAGCTGAGCTTCCTTATAGAATTATTTTTTAACCACCCGCTTTCTGGTAGAGCTTTTTCATGGAATTTGAAGCTGAATTTGTTTGTGGATTGCAGAAACTTCTGAATGCTCTTCCATTAAAGAACTGTTCTTTAAAAGTAGCTCACATTCAGAAACTGTGGCATGTAGAAACATCATACAAAGTTTAAGGATATATTTTATTTATTGACCTGTCAGTCTGGGAAGGACTTGACAGATTTTGGACTGGCTTATTAACAGCCCATCTAACAACCTGAGCTGACTCTTTCTCTTACCTCTTGCTGTATGTATAGAGAACTCTAGGAAATAGCACCTGTACCGCCTCTTGTAAAATACTAATTAGAAAAAGAGAGAAAATATTCCTCCATTTTATATGAAGAAGAATAGTTAAGAGAGAAAACAATGTTTTCTTCCCCAGTAGTTTGGCTGCTGTAGCCAGAGGAGAAAGAAAAAAAATATTCATTCTTTCCCTTCCATCCATTTAGAAAAAAACTGGATAGTTGATTTATTTGTGGACTGGGATCCTGCAGTAAAAAGGTTGGCACAAAAGAAAAAACGTCTCCCCTTATTCACAGGAAAATGGAGAAACAGCAGTATTTTCATTATCTGAATGGCAATGATATTTACCTGTAGCACAAGGAGCATTTGTCTTTGCTCCAATAGAAGAGGGGCTGGTTGACGGCTGGTTCCTGCCTGCCTGCCAGTGTGCAAACTGCCTCTCCCACTTCTTCCTTCCGGCCCCTGCCAGTTGTGATGTGGTAGTGACTCAATAAGGGATGAAGTGCAGCAGAGCTATCTTACTACCCATTAAGAAAGCAATGGAAGGCCTATCAAGCAGCCCGCTAAAGGCCTGTCAAGCATTTATTCTGCCCCTCAATCTGCTGTCTCCACATAGGAACATGGCTTCTCAGAGGCTGATCCCCAGGGGAAGAATCTCACACTATTCCTCAAATTAGGCCTCTCTCTTCTAAAGCCATGATCATTTGGCCAGTTTCTCTGCCGGTTTTCAGGAGATAATATTTCAGGAAGGAACCAAATCCACAGAGCGCAACGGAAAACATGCACATAAAAGTAAAATCAAATTACCATTACTAATGTTTCACTGTCCAGAACTGAGGACATCCCTGGACGATATTCATATATGCTTTTAGGTTCAGCCCAGTGCTTCCTCGAGTCTATTTTTTTGTCTGGAGGCTCCCAATCATTCCTTTAAAGAAAAAAAAGAAAAGAAAAGAAAAATAAAGTGCAACTGTTCACCTCACCGCAATCAACATTTTCTTTAGAAGCTCAAAATAAAGAGAGGAAGTGTCATCCAATTTGTCCGCAGAATGGTTTTTTTTCACTAATTCTCCAAACCATAATTCTGTTTCTTACAAATGCCACAAATCAAAGTATTAGCTATGTCTTTAATTTGTAATTTTTTTCCCATTCTCATTTCCATTCTCTGACCAACGCTGCTTCACATACACGCCTTCTGCTGAGGAACATTGTAAGGCTTAGTAGATCTATTATTTGTACTATAGGTTTGTTCTTCTTTTTTATTATAAAAAGCAAATAAGTCCCTGTTCAAATAAATGCTCCCTGGAAACACAAACACCGCAGACACACACACACCCACACACCAAAGTACCGTAAATGCCGGCGTACAAGGCGACCCGGCGTATAAGACGACCCCCGTCTTTATAGCCGGGCCGCATTCCTAGAACGTCGTCTTATACGCCGGAAACTACCAGTATTTCCGGCGTATAAGACGACTCGGCGTATAAGACGACCCCCGTCTTTGGCGCCGATTTCAGCACTCGCGGAAGTCGTCTTATACGCCGGCATTTACGGTAATTGGCAAACTTTGGAACCTCAGTTGAGCCAATTCCTAATTTTTAGCCAAATGACATTTAAGACACCACTTATTTAAAATGGAGCTGAGAAGATTGCTATCCTTCATTGCATAATTGTGCCATAGCAAACAGAGCACAAGATGAACCCAAAATACTCTTACTTGGATACAAATTCTATCTAAAACGTATGTGCTTGCTATATATTATTTTGTGAATGATATAGGAAAACCTAGTTTTCAATTTAGTTTATTATTTTTCATTTTTTTAAAAATTGTTCTCTTATTACTTGATAAGTAACTCAAGGCAGTGAACATACCTAATACTCCTCCCACTTTCCCCACAACAGCCCTATGAGGTGGGTTGAGCTGAGAGGGAGTGACTGGCCCAAAGTCACTCAGCCAGCTTTCATGTCCAAAACAGGACTAGAACTCATTAACTCCTAGTTAATAGGCCAGCACCTTAACTACCACACCAAAGTGGCTTGTTTGTTTGCTGCTAGTAAATCAGGGGTAGGCAACCTTGGCTCTTTTATGACTTGTGGACTTCAACTCCCAGAATTCCTGAGCCAGCCACGCTGAGGGGAAAGGGAGAGGTTTCCAAGCTGAGCCAGGCTGGCTCAGGAATTCTGGGAGTTGAAGTCCATGAGTCATAAAAGAGCCAAGGTTGCCTACCCCTGTGCTAGTTGTATCACCCTGAGCTACTACTTCAACTGTTCTTATCTATGATTACCTCTCAGAGTTCGATTTAAGAGATGAAGAACGAGCGGGCAGCGGCAAAGTGAACGATCTCTTCATTGTCTTGTCTGTGTTGATAGTATCATTCTCACTCTTGGAACGGGGCACTGAAGTTTGTGCTGTTGCTGCAAAGGGACAAAGTCAGACATGTTTTGTAGGAGAAGAAAGGAACTAATATTCCAAAATATGTGTCATGGTTCTGACAGATGAAACTCTTCAAAGAACTTCGAGGCATTGTTTACCTTAAAGAATCTTTATTTGAAAAGCATAGCATTGGCACGTACATAGGTAAAGCCAAAATCTGAATTCCCCTCCCCTGAGCACATAGTATCAAAGCACAATTCCCTCCTCTAATTAACAATCATAAATCACATTCTCCAATTAGTTTGAAACGCAGGCTTTCCCTCCAACTCTTCAACCCGCCATTTCTTACCATCTCTTATTTCAAAAAAACTTTGGTTCTCACCCTAGTTACAGTATTGTTATGTCTAACTAAACTCCCATGCACATTCCTCCTCTCCCCCAGTATCATCTAATTCTAATTCTAAGAGTAAAACATAAAATGGTTGCATCTCCGTATGTTGTCAAAGCAAGAACATCTGATGTTAGCAGCATTGACAACATGATGGTTTGTTGTATTCTGGGTACATAATGCTTTTTCAACTAGAGTAAGATTTATTCAACACATCATGTAATTTTCTTTTTCATACAACCTTTAGCACTCATATAACTAATTTCTATGTTCAAATACTTACCTTCTTTGCCAAAGGAGTCCTGTGGAAAATATGAATCAGAATCTTCATCTGGAAAAAAAAAAACATAATTTGCTATCTGTTTAGATATTCTATTATATATTTATGGCTATGGCTTCCCCTTCTGCCACTCTATGAATTCAAGTGCAAATTCTATTATCATTTCTGGTAGTTTGATTAATAACAAAGACACTGCATTCTTTATGCAAAAGCAGCCATCAGTACATTGCAAGGAATATATGGGTGGGTTATTCATAACTCCAAGAATTAAATACACTCAGTATTCATGTATACTTGAATGCCTACACAGTTTTCATAGGACCTAATAAATATACCTTGAAACTCTTTGAATATGTACAGGGGAGGCCAAGAGCTGGGCTTTCTCTCTCCATAAGCAGAGGAGATACATGAAGGCTTCAATGGGGCAACTGCATGAGATCTGGTTTACATGTAACATTAAACCAAGATTATGAATAAACTATGGTGATGTGCTTTTTAAATAACAGCAAAATCAAACCAGATGTGTTCAGATATTGCACTAAACTGCAATATAGTATATGAACCAGGCCCCTTTATCAATATTACAATCCAGTTCTATGTACATGTCCTCAAAATTCAGTCCTAATGCATTTAAAATATATATTGATTTATACACAGGTTCGCAACTGTATTCATTCAAATCATATTCTAAACTATTTTTACAGAAATCCTATACATATCTATCACATCAACTTTCCCAAAATCACAGCATTCTTCCTTAATAATAAAAAGGGTACTTGGAAATACCTTGGAATGGAAAATGCAAGTTACTATTCCAATCCCAACCTTTTTAAACTGAACGTCAAAAATACCATGCTAACTCCATAGGCCTTTGCTTATTCAAATTAATATGTCCCAGTGGTCTCATACTCTGGAATTACAACCAAAATTTTCCATTTACTCTCCTCCCACCTTGCAATGATTCACGTGCTCCAAACATTTTCATTTCACTAATTAAGCTTCCAGGTCTATGAAGTATCAAAAAATCCTAGGAAAAGATTCTTCATAATCATTCAGAGAAACGTTCCAAACTTCTCATAATACAAGGTAATTTAGCAAGGATGGTTTACACTTAGCAAAACAACACTGCCTCACATTTGAAAATATATATTTTGCACAGCGGAGCTGATGGAAAATCAGAAAAGAATGAATCTATGGACCTCCAGCCTGCATTTGAGCACTGAACTTTTCAGGCTAAGGAACCATTTATAAACCACCCAGAGTCATTTTAGGTGAGATAGACAGTGTAGATCAGCGGTTCTCAACCTATGGGTTGCGACCCCATTTGGGGTCGAACGACCATTTTACGGGGGTCACCAAACAACGCGATCCGCCATTTTCCCCCCTCAGGGGGCGCCGCCGCGCATGTGCGCCGCGCATGTGCGCCAGCCACGCGCACACGCGCCACGCGCGAGACCAATGGTGCGCACACGCGCCGCGCATGGGGCGCCGCCATGCATGGGCCGGCGCCACGCATGGGCCAGCGCATGCGCGGCGCGTCCGTGTGACGGGGGTCGTCGTCACACAAAGGTTGAGAACCGCTGGTGTAGATATTTGATAAAATAAAATAAAATTTACAAAAATTTGATCAATAAATATTTTTTTACAAACATTCCCACAGGACTGGAAGTTAAAGTGCATCCTTTAGTCCAGGGGTCTTCAAACGTGGCCCTTTTATGACTTGTGGACTTCCAGAATTCCTCAGCCGGCGTGCCTGGATGAGGAATTCTGGAAGTTGAAGTCCACAAGTCATAAAAGGGCCACGTTTGAAGGCCCCTGCTTTAGTCATTTACTGCTTACAGTTGCCAAATGGCCAAAGAACCTGGGACAGTCTCCAGGCCCCTGATCTGATACATTCATGCCATACAATATTCCTGTCTTAACACAAAGAAAGGAATGTGAGAAGCAGAAGCTTCTTAAAGCAATGATAGCAGCAGATTTAGAAATGAAAAACAATTCCACCAGGGATCCTAGTGAGGGATTCAGCTAGGCAATTACAGAATGGATGTCATTTGAAATGAAAATACAAACAAAGGTTGCACCTGCTTTCTGAATTCAGTGAAGCAAGGTCTGATCGTCATGGGACCTGCAAAGAGGAGAGCTTCTTCTCCAATACTTCTAGGATTAGCCATACAATCACAACTGGTTAGGTAACTAGACAGTGTTTTTATAAGGTGGTACTTTATCTGGGAAGATTATTACACACATCTGTAATAGAACCACTGGTGCCTAGGTTCTTAGAAAACAATGCAGCATATCTTGTTGTCAGATTAATTTTATTTCTGGATCAGGTAATGTCTTACACACAATGTGGAAATGCTGTAAAACATCTGACAATGTATGCGTGACATTCTGATTAGCAAGTTATTCAAGTTTGGTTGGGTGAGATTTCTATATATTTAATCCATAGCTGGCCTGAAACTCCACCCAGAACGCTCATCAATGGCTCTTCATCAAGTTGGGAGAACTATAGTGTAAGGTGCCATATGACTCTTTGGTACAGTAGAAAACTTACCAGAAAACTGGATAGAGCAACTATGAGACTAAGAAGTCAGAAATAAAATTCAGAATGATCTTGATAGATTTTTGTCAGAAGAAGTGGATCGAAATGGCATTGAATATAAATGTAATAACAACAAATACAAACTTATTCAGAGGCAAACAACAACAACACACAGGCATATGAAGGATTTCTGGTTTGGGGTGTAGTATGAGTGAAAAGGACATTGGAATTGCAGTTGAACACTTACAAGCTAAATATGATTCAACAGGCTGATGTGGCTGCTAAAAAAGACAAATGTGGTTTTAGGCCAGGAGTCTTCAAACTTGGCCCTTTTATGACTTGTGGACTTCAACTCCCAGAATTCCTCAGCCAGGCATGCTGGCTAAGGAATTCTGGGAATTGAAGTCCACAGTCATAAAAGGGCCAAGTTTGAAGACCCCTGTTTTAGGCAATATCAGTAGAAGATGAGGACATCATATTATTTTTCAAGGATCTGGAGGGATAGATTATGTAGAAGGGGATGGGACAATTTCCAAGACTTATTAGGTCTGACAATTTTATCTCGTTCCTAATTTATGTGGGGATGCCACTGCTAAGATTCGAAAAGTTGAAGGGGCTGTTCGCCACTGAACCTGTGCTAAAACATCCAAACCCCGAAGAGCCTTTCATGATCCAGACAGATGCCAGAAACGTGGCTGTGGGAGCTGTCCTCCTTGAGCACAATGGAGAGAGAAACTTACAGCCATGCGCGTACACATTTCGCAAGCTAAATGAGACGGAACGGAGGTGAGCAGTCTGGGAGAAAGAGGCATTTGCTGTGTGGTGGGCATTACTAACTTGGAGGCAGTTCCTGGAGGAAAGTAAACCCCCCTTTGAAGTGTGGACTGATCATAAAAACTTAGAAGCCCTGAACCCCCCCCCCACCCAGATGGGCGCAGTATTTCAAAAGGTTTGATTTTGAACTAAAATACTTCCCAAAGGAGAACTTCTTAGCAAATACTCTGTCCCGCATAGCCCAATACAAAAGCACCCAGCAGGAGGTGGTGAGTTTTGTCATTCCCGATAGACAGCAAGTGTCACAAGCGACAACCAGAAGGCAAGAGAAAAGGCGCTCACCCCCCCACCGATGCATTTGCACAACAACTGAAGCAAGAGCTGCAAACTGACACATGGTTTGTGGCATGGAAAGTGGGCAAATTGTATGTCCCAGACAGCCGCCGATTGCAAATTCTGCAACGCAGCCATGATGTCAAGCAGGCAGGCCACTTTGGGTTCCTGAAGACACTACATCTCACTAATCGTCAGTTCTGGTGGCCAAAGATGAAGAAAGACATTGAGAACTATGTGGGGAGCTGTGCTGTCTGTGCAGCCAGCAAAAGACTACCCGGGAAGAGTCCGGGACTGTTACAGCAGGTGGCTGACCCAACCAGACCCTGGGAGGAGATAGCCATGGACTTTTAGTGGAGCTATCGGAAAGTGGGGGAAACACCATAATATGGACTGTGATAGACCTATTTTCCAAGCAAGCCCACTTTATTGTGTGTGCTGGACTCCCCTCAGCCCAAATGTAGCGAAGATGTTTTTGCAACACATCTACCGGCTACATGGTGTGCCTAAGTGCATCATTTCAGATTGGAGAGCCCAATTTACTGCTAAGTTTTGGAGGGAGTTTGTGAAAATGATTGAGTCTTCCCAGGAGCTCAGTTCTGCTTTTCATCCAAGTACGAATGGATCTGCAGAATGAGTTAACGCAATAGCGGAACCGCACCTGCGTTGCTATGTCAACCATCAGCAAATGAACTGGTCAGAACCCTTGCCATTTGCAGAAGTGGCATATAACAACGCAGTGCATAGCAGAACTGGTTTCACTCCATTTAAGTTACCCACAGGAGTAGAATTTGTGCCTATTCCAGAGTGCCCACTGGAACCCCCATCCTCTACCACCGTAAGTGACTGGGTGGGTTCCTTTTAGAGGGTTTGGAGTGATGTGAAGAAGGCTTTGAATAAGGCAGCCGAAAGCCAGAAAAGGCAAGCGGATAGAAAGCGAGCTCTGCAAGGGACTTTCCATACAGGGGACAAAGTGTATTTGTCTACTAAAAGCTTAAGTTGAAACAAAGTTGTAAGAGGTTCATCAGTCCTTTTCCTATTGTAAAAATCATAAATCCAATGACTGTAGAATTAAAACTACCGAGGCTGTTAGGTAAAATTCACCCAGTATTCCATTGCAGCTTACTGAAGCCACACAGGAGATCCACAACAAGGCCAGTAGGGGAAGCAGCCCCAGCTCCAATAGTGGTAGACGGGGAAACACATTATGAGGATAAGCAGATCCTTGATTCTAGAATCCACAAAGGAAAATTGCAGTACTTATTCCAATGGGAGGGTTACCCAATGTCGGAAGCTAGAGGGGTAAAAGCCCCACTTAATCATTAGAGGAAATACCTTTTTCAACTAGCCTAATGATTCATCACAGTGAGAAACAACAATTCTGATACCAAAGCTATTAATATCAAGATAGGAAGGCTTTTGTACAAAAATACTGCCTTTGAGCCATTCAGTATCAAGTATTCTAACTGCTGGATTGGGAACCTCTTCTTCAACCTGGCAAAAGAAATATGTCTGACCCAAACTTTGTTTGGATTAAAAATGTGGTCCAACATCTTCTCAATCTTGGCAACTTTAAGACAAGTGGTCTTCAACTCCATAATTCCCCATGGCTGGCTGGGGAGTTGTAGTCTACACATTTTAAAGTTGCACTAGGCCAATAATATTCAAAGTAGCTTAAGTCTTCCAGGGATTACCCTGTAGTAGAAGATGCCATAACTTTGTCTGTATTCATAAGAATGCTATGGGTAACAACTTTTCATTTCAAAATTGGATGCAATTCTATGTTATTTCATAGAAAGTAGATCACTTGAAATATGGATACTGTACACAATTTTTAATAGGGAGCACTGTCCTGTAGATGTGGGTGACACACAAAACATGTTGGATCTTGCAACCATCACTGCCGCACTGGCCTTGCCCAAGGTGAAGGAGGCCTTGACAAATATGCATTCAAGATTTTTCATTCCATTTAGTAAGAATGTGTGTCTTTATAGTCTGGTGTCCATGTGCTATGTGATTTCAGATTCCTGGATAATTATCTTGAACTGACAACACTGGCAACACAAACCAAAGAAAATCCAAGCTCCACAACATTAATTAGGGGACTATTAGAAAAAGCGAGGCAAAGCTAAGAAAGAGGTTGTACCATTGAGGATGCAAGAGCAAAAAGCAGTTGGCAACTACAATTAAAAGACAGCAACGGAGACTTGGCAACTACAAAAACTCTGGCTGGAAAATTAAGAAAGCAGAAGCTTGTTCAAAAGCAAAAGTCAATTGATCTTAACAAATTACCTTCAGATCTAGGGCTAGGAGTAGACACAGGAAACTGGTAAGTAGGAGAATAAGGATTTTGTTCTGCAGCAGAGAAAAGCAGTGGGGTTGGAGAGCAGCCATGCTTAAATGGAGGAACTTCACCCCTTCTCAATTTCCTATCCCGTTATGTTTTTGTACCCCGCTTTGCTACTAACATTCACTACTCCCAAGAGAGAGCAGAAGGTCTCCATCGATACAAAACAAGGAGACATTCGGAATAGCATTCAGTTTTTAATGAGTCATATTGTAGTATGACAGATTAAACTACGGTTAGCCAAACACAAAACAAGATATATTCTTGCTAAACTTGTGGTACCTTTGCTTTGGGGTTGAATAACAGGAAGCTCGGGGAATATGTAGGTAGGGCAATAAGGGTTTTCTTCAGGTGGGTCTGTGCAGGAAGAGCACATTTCCAAAAAAAAAAAAAAAAAAAAGAACAGAGAGGAAATATATACTGTAAATGGAGTGGGATATATCAGAGGAAACTCCCAATATACACACAACCTGGATAGGGTTGCCACCCCTCAAAAATGCATAATTTAGTCTTAGGCTACCCCTCCAGTTCAGCCATGGGCAGCGTATCAGCACAGAGTGCTTTCCATGCATTCCAGGATGGTTTGTCTCAAATTAACCCGTCCTTAGTGCTAAATTGGTAGGCACAGAAATCTTGCAGTTTTGCTATCAATTCTGATTCAACTTAAGGAAAGAGGATTTGCTTTAGAAATGCTTCAAAAGGAGAATTCTCTTTGGTAGAGTGTGATAATTCAGCATACATACATTTAGTTGCAAATTGGCCAAAGGTATGTGTGAATGCACGATACAATGCACTCCTGAGGGCAGGAAATGAGGTTAGAACTATTAAGCTATCTCCTTGCTATAAGTTGTGGGCCTGGGAGAGAATTTTCCACTGGCAGCTATGGGAGAATTCTGTCTCAGGACTAGCAGCTGTTTTTTGAGGGAGGTGTGGGGAAGGAGACTTCTTGCGGAGAAAGTTTAAAGCCACATCCTGAATTTATTTTAGCTGCCTTCTCCCTCCCCCACCAACTAAACCAGGATATTCCATCCCAAAGGAAACAGGTAAGTTGACAGATAGAATGTTTTAAATTACGGTAGATATACCTTTTGTCAATCTGTGGATTTGTTTGAACATTATCTTGTACCAGTCCTTGGATCGCTCTGAATTCTAATTGAAAAAAGAAAGATAACACAGCATTTGAAAAGACTGAAACATCCATTCAACGTATGGTATCTTATACCTATTACCTTATGTTAATAATTTCTGCTCATCATAGACTCCATGGAAAATCTGGGGATGCAAAAGACCTGTTTTTTTCCAACTGTGGGGTTTTGGACTGTTCTAGTGATTAGTTAATCAAGCAATGTATGGCACCCAGAAGTTTTAGGAAGGCAAGTCCGTCCTAAATTTCCAATTTTAACGGTGGTGTTTTGCCAATGTTAATTCTAATACAAGTATGGAATTCTTGCAGTTTTGCACATGTTGCTACAGCATCAACCATCACAGCCAACAGTACCAGAGACATCTACAGGTTCCACATCACTGTACTAATTTCACTCAAATCCCTTCATTAAATGCTGTCCATTTCACTTATTTCTCAAACTGTTTGTTGACCACTTATAATATTGTTACTTCATTTGATCTGTCTAAATCAGAATCTTTAGTGTTTGTGATCTCTGGTTTGTCAAAGTTCATGTTCAATGTCATATCAGTCCACCCAATTAATACTATGATCATAGAATGTCGAATGTAAAAATGGCCAATAAACACATATTACATGGATCTTCACACCAATGCTACAGGCAGTCTTGCTATCACACATTTAGGACCAAAAACTAGGCAATATTAAAGTAATGTGTATAGCTGTTGTAAGAACCGATTACTTGTAATTGTAGATCTTCAAGAAGTTATCTGTGAATTCACACTTTGGGGTTCTAGATCTGGGCAATAATCTGTGTGGAATCTTTCAGATCCTGGAATCTTCAGAGAATGCAGCTTAGCAAACCAGGAATTCCCTATCTTTGGATGATCACCAAACATCTGAAAGCAAGGTTGATCATTCCTACAGGCAAGTGGGGAAAACTGAAGTCACAGATAACCATTGAAAGAGCATCCAAATTCTTTTTGAACGAATTCTATATTGTTGAGCTACATTAAATACTGTTTAGCTCTCAGTTTTAGGCACCAAAATAACAACGATCAGTTTTTAGATCAGTGGTTCTCAACCTTTTTAATGCCGTGACCCCCAACCGGTCATAAGTCAAGGACTACTCAACCGGTTGTAAGTCAAGGACTACTCAACTGGTGCAGCACCGTTTGCAGAATGGGACTTTTGGCGGGCTCAGCAGGGCAGAGACAGCCTGGACAATTCCTATTGGCTTTTGAAAGCCAATAGAATTAGACTCTATTCAGGAGAGTCTATTCTATTGGCTTTCAAAAGCCAATAGAATAAAAGGGAGTAGCACAGCTAAGGAAAAGGGGGAAAAAATGGCAGACTGCGTTGTTTGGCGACCCCCGTGAAATGGTCATTCGACCCCAAATGGGGTCCCGACCCACAGATTGAGAACCACTGTTCTAGATTGTATTATTGCTTTGGCACTGGTTCTGTCACTTATCTCCATAGCTGGTTGGATGGTTGATGGCCTTGAGAAACGTTGATATCCTGAGAAAGGCAAAACTATAAATATCATTTTTCTCCTCAAAACAAATTTTCAAATTTAGTATTTGACCACTAACCACCATACCCACAACTATCTGTTGTAGTTATAGCCTTTGGAACAATTGGAGGCTTATGTTGAAGGATAACTACATTTCATGAGGATTTATACAATTTAGACCGGTGGTTCCCAACCTTTTCTATACCCCCTCCCAGAACGCTTCTGATATATTCTCGCACCCCTTACAAAAGTTCAAAATAACGGCAACGAATTATGCATATACACTATAATTTTGAAAAGCCAAGTTTTTGCACCCCCTGGAATATTGTCTCGCACCCCCCCAGGGGGGTCAATAGCCCTGGTTGAGAACCCCTGATTTAGATTAAGGATACATAAAGTATTAGGATTGAGGGGTTTTATGTATCTCACCAGTATGTTGTTTTTCACAGTTGGGTGATAGGGTTCCAAAATCTGATTCCCTTTTTCACATTTGTGGAAGATTTTAGAGAGGAAAATAGGTGCTTATTTCACCTGTTAAATTATGCCAAATGGGTTTTGGCATAATTCACTCTTGTAGCATGGCCCTCCAAATGTCACATAACATTTGATCTAGCCCTCAAGCTGACAAAATACATGCCAGCCAGATAACAGGTTATCCAAATCTTGAGCTTCCTTAAAACCATCCGGATGTGCACCCATTTAAATTAAAGGAAAATAGCACCTTAAGTTTACATTTTTTTTTTATTAGAGGAAGGGACTTTTGTTTCTTCGATTCATCCAAGATTACATCAAGAGCTTTTCCCCATAAATGAAATAGATGCCAGGCGCCACATACCAGCTGCCAGCCAGAAACTCTTCCTAAATTCTGACACAATTGCCATGTGTCATCATGCTGGAATACATCTAAAGAAGAATCTGCCACAGTAGCAGCTGTGCAAGGAATGTTCCAGAGCTTGTCCCTTGCTTGTTTAGATTTGCTACGCATTTCAGACCACCTCTAGGTGGCACTAGCAAAGAAGAGTCTACATGAAATTGATGGCTAGATGTCTACATGGCTGCTGAGGCACTGAGCATCTTATGTAGATCCATCTCTGTCTTCCCTTCTGTCTGTGGAAGGGCAGGGGAGGATGTGAGAGCAGATATAGGCACATCAGTCAAAGTAACTTTTAATCATTTCAGGATTTTGTTAGGAGCAGAAGGCAGCCTCTTTGTTAATCCACATCAGGGGTGTCAAATTGCCGGCCCACGGGCCGGATGCATCACGTGGAAGCCGCGCCCACCTGATACATTGCGCAATGTCACGTGACGTCACATGACGTCACGAGTTTGACATGTCTGATCTACATGGTTACTACAATAGTTTTCACTGAAGTTACCCACTTCTTGATCCTTATATTTTTTAAGATATTCAGCAAAGTATAGCAAGGTTTTGCTTCTTCACAGCATGCTGGATTGCTTCAACATGGTTCTCTATCATCTCTGGTAGTCTGATTCCCACCCTCCTTGCAGCTCATGAACCTGACACGGGGCTGCTTCCCACCTTTGCTAAATCTTTTGCACTGAGCACTGGAAACACCAGCAAGCTGGCTCCCATTTGATGTTAATCCATGAAACTGATCCGTAGCTTGGAAGCAAGCAACAGGAAGAAATTAAAAGGAGTTCTAATAGTTTGTGGGTTGTGCTGTTGCTGCCACAGCACAAATTACCTCAGTTTAAAAGGAAATCACTGTATTTTCTACACATCTTCCCCATACCCTTCATGTCTCTGTCTTATTGGTAAAGAAAAGGAGGAAGGAAGCTGTAAAGAGGAATGTATATATATATATATATATATATATATATATATATATTATATATATATATATATATATACACATATATATATATATATATACACACATATATATATATATATTATTTTAAAGCAAACTAAGGCTCAGTCCAGCAACTCTGCACAGTAATTCAGCTGATCATGTCAGGGAGGATGGATCTCTTCACCTTCCACCCTCAGGATGTCATTCAAGCTTAGTCTCTGCCTGGTGGATACAGAGGGAGATACCATCCCAGATGGAGGATGGTCTTCCAGGAAACTCAAGAGAATAGCTTCCCTGTGAAAGTCTGGGCAGGGCAAAAGGGTTAGTCATCAGGCAATCTTAATGGAGTGGGATCTGGGGAAATAGACTGCAAAGGGCTGTAATTGCCTGTGCTTAGGGTGGTGCTGTTACATCCATCCAAAGAGTGCTACCCAATGAACGGAACTGACAAGAATCTCGAGAGATTATTGACTGATGGCTGAGGATCTGTGGTTTTTCTGCCTTAGGAGTTCTGTGTTTCTTACCATGCAAGCAATCTAAGCACACCCTCACAGGGGGCAACCAATTCAACAGCACCTTGGAAGTGTTGTCATGTTGTCCTCAGAAGCCTAATAAGAAAGGGGACAATCTCCAAAAGCAATCAAGACAGGGGAAGTTGCCATCCTTCTAAACCAGTGGTTCTCAACCTGTGGGTCGGGACCCCATTTGGGGTCGAACGACCATTTCACGGGGGTCGCCAAACAACGCAGTCCGCCATTTTTTTCCCCTTTTCCTTAGGTGTGCTACTCCCTTTTATTCTATTGGCTTTTGAAAGCCAATAGAATTAGACTCTCTTGAATAGAGTCTAATTCTATTGGCTTTCAAAAGCCAATAGGAATTGTCCAGGCTGTCTCTGCCCTGCTGAGCCCACCAAAAGCCCCATTCTGCAAATGGTGCTGCACCAGTTGAGTAGTCCTTGACTTACGACCGGCTGAGTAGTCCTCGACTTACGACCGGTTGGGGGTCGCGGCATTAAAAAGGTTGAGAACCACTATTCTAAAGTATAGTGAGATACTATTAGAAAATATATAGATTACCAGAAAAAAAACCCACAATTACATGCGTATATTTTCAACACATTTTTGAGGAACTTACCTTCTGATTCCAAAGTCTGAAAATTCAGGGAATTTTTTTTTAAAAGACAGAATATTTTATTTCATGTACCTACTTTATTGTTCCTAAAAGTATACAAACGCTAAATGGATTTGCATCATGACAATATCTAACAAAACAATTTATGTGCTGAAATTTGACTGTAACAAAAAAAAATAGACAATCAGAAATGAACTGATGCAATAGGGAAATATTTCACATTTCCTTACTCTTAGTGGAATGCCTATGGAATCCAAAGAATCATCAGCCATATGCTGAGAATTATTGACAATTCTCTTCTGTTCCTCTACTGCATCTTCCGTGCTTGGATTTAATTTTTGTTGAACAGATATACCATCTACTTTATCAGCGACTGGTGGATCAGGCCCTGGATCTGTAAACAAAAATAGCAATCACCATTGTTATAAAATATTTAACATCAGAACCTTGGGGAAATACAAATGAGGTATCTTATTGTTTTAAAAGAATGTAATTTTCAAAATAATTGAATAAACAAGGAATTTTAGAAAAGAAAGTATCTGTTCCATATTTCCTTTAACAGTGCATTCTAACTATTTTGCAGAATATATTATTTTAAACTGTGGGACCTTATTCACTGATTCTCAGATCAAAAAGCACCACATAGGCAAGCACCACATAGGCCTAGCAACAGAATCATAGTTAATTTTTCTAATGTAACTGTTACTACAATGCAGCAGTCTTTAAGCTCCTTCTCTGCCAGATTCTCCAGAAAGATTTCTGGGAAGAGAGAAGGATCATAAGCCGACTCATCCAAAATGCATTAAGTTTCAGCAAACTGTGATAATGCAGTGTAGCATGCACTGGAAAAAAGCAACATATTCATGCTTAAGAAAATGCACGGTGAGCTCAAGAACGGTATTCTAAATGGAAATTAAAATTGTGCAGTCATGTTTCATGCAATATAGTCTGCATTCATCCCAGAGCATCATGAGCAAATCCATCCCAGAGCTAATTTGCTGAATGTTTTAACATACTTTTTATGTATTTTTCTGGACTAGTTCCCCTCAATAACAACTAACATTTTAAATCAATAAAGATTGATCCCACCCACTTTTGAATGTGATCTTAATATTAAATTCTTGATGATTTGAAAATGTTGGATGCTAATACAGAAAAGTATCAGACTAGTCATTCTGGCAAAACTGGGGCTGGACTATCGGAACTAGGCCACAAAAATCCATTAGGTACAAAGAGGACACTTTACTGATATTTCATGATCTGTAGCTTGGATATATGGGGGATATTTCAAGCTCTTTTTAAATGATGGGCCCAGTGTCTTCTTTTTCCAAGATTGCCTTGTGGAATTCCGGAGACAAGTAGCGTAAATATGTCATAGTCACCGAACAAAATACAATTCCTCTACCCCTGAATTGCAGTTTTTCTTTGAATTGCAGTTTTTCCTTTACGGATTCACTAATGATACTCTATTAGATAAAAAGAGCTTGACTGAATACAGCAGCAGAAGCATCAATAGCTAGAAATAGCATAACAATATTTGGGGCATCGTACCTGCAAGGCTATTAAGCCTTTTTTGCTGCTCTGCTGTGGGAAAGAGAGGAGGGGGAAAGACAAATAAATTGTTGAAACCATGGTTGCCCTCCACTCTTCATAAGACATTCACAATCTGTTGAACAAAATCTCAAGAGCTTGAATACCCCACCCCCATTGGCATTTTATCAAAACCAACATTTTTAACCCCTTGCCCTCCAAATAAAAGTGCTGAGCAAGAGTTCCATATATAATGCGTGAGTAACCTGTTTATATATTCGATTCAAACAAATTGGCATACATACTTTTTTTCCCCACAAATTCAGAAGGCTAAAAATCCCTAAGAACTTTCCTTGCTGGAAGCTACAACACTAACTTGCTACCAGCAATGTGGGCACCGAAGCCCAAAACAATGGGACAGCACAAAACAGTCCACACACACTAATGGGGACTAAGTCTGAGTAAGGATGTCTTGCCTTACAAGGTCCCCTTATATGTTTTATTCAAGAAGAATTCTATATGGTGCACATTCAGAGCAACATATAGCTGCACCTTTATTGAATTAAGTGAGATGCAAGACTCAAACTGGAACATTTAGTATGAATGATCAAAAATGTTTATTCTGGTTTATTGAGGTGGAAGCTATTTGTGATTCTTCAGAACAGAATCTGGTCTCAAGATTCTTCCCTACTTTTACTGATCAATCCCAATTTACTGATCAATCCTGATTTATTTACAAGCCAGTTTATATCTGTATTCACCAGACCAAAAATAATGCTGATAAATATTTGGTATATTCTTTGATAAGTGTGCAACAGTATCACATAAATGGATATTGCATTCACAACAGCTCCAAATAAGTCCTTGTGATCTAAAACCAAACTTTTTTTAAGATGCAAAGGTTCAGCAATACAAGATCCAAACATAACCAGCCCGTAAGAGTCGACATCTTCAATCATCATTCTCCAAATGAAGAAAGGTTACAGCAAAGAAGCCTGAGAACTACCCTCTGTAGAACTTTAAATCTGAAGACCAGACAGCAAAGTCTTTCTCATAGAACTTCATGAAATCACAAAGGGATAAGTTGTAACCATCTCCGATACTCCACAAGTAAAGAAAACTATCATAGTTCTAACCATCTCCGATACTCCACAAGTAAAGAAAGCTATCATAAATAGACCATCAGGCAGCTTAGGAAAGTTTAGGTTGAAAAACAAGGCCTTATTTTAAGAGTTTATATTATCTTTGAACAGCTGAATGCTCTTGATCATAACAGTTGGTCCTCCAGTTACAGAAGCAATTGGGACTGGGATTGCCATTACCGAGTGATGCGGTTGTAAAATGCAATGTCACATGACCAAAGGCAATCCAGTACGTTATTGTCGTAAACCAGGATGCAGGGTTGCTAAGCAGGAAGTGAGGAAGTTACTGTCAAAGCAAGAACATCCAATGCCTGGAAGTTCTTTGAAGTTCTTTCGTTAATTGGAACCATGACAGTCACAGGCAGTACTTTTTTTGTTATAGAACGCACCGGAACAGAGTTCTGGCACTTTTTTTCGATGGATTTTCCAAGTTTTAAAAGTAACTTTTGAAAATTTGATGTTTGATGCACGTGAACTTGAATCACCCTGTCAAGCGTAGCAAATCAGCAGCAAAATCATAAAATGGTGCATGTGGGCTGCTTGTGCGCCGATGTATGTGCACTTCATCCGCGCTGGTTGTGATGGTGCTGCTCGGCTTATGACACTGCTCGGCTTGTGATTGGTTGTGTAGTCGTGTTCTGTGTGCTTACTGCGGGCGGTGACCATTATATTTCGTTACACAACAGACGTGTGTGGGTGGGTGTGTACAGTGATTGACTATGTGCGAAAGGTAAACAATTTCTTTGTTTTAAAAAATATTGGTGAATTGAAAATCTTTTTTTAATTTGTAGTGCAAAATTTACGATGGACATTTGCCTTAAATACAATAAATTAAATTTGTGTTAAGAACTGAACATATAATTTTTTTTAAATAAAAGATTAACAAGATGGGAATTCTGGCACCTTTTTTCTTGCAAAAAAAGCACTGCTCACAGGTAAGGTATTGCACAGGGGTGGAGGACTTCCTGGGAGGCCTAACGCAGGCTAAGGGTTATGCAGTGTCGTACAAGCTCAGGGGGGCTAGGAAATGAGGGCACAAGATGCATGTGTTCATGTGAGTGAGCTCAAGGAAGATGGGGAAAACAGAGTGCAGAGAGGCCAGGAAAGAGGGCATGGGGTTTGTGCATGCAAGCTAAGAAAGGCCAGGGGGCAGAAGGAGACTTACCAAAGACTTGCAATCTTCCCTGCTGGCTTCCCACTGGCTTTGTTTATGGCATGGGTAGGCAACCTTGGCTCTTTTGTGACTCGTGGACTTCAACTCCCAGAATTCCTGAGCCAGCATAGCTCAGCATGGAAACCTCTCCCTTTCCCCTCAGCATGGCTGGCTCAGGAATTCTGGGAGTTGAAGTCCACGAGTCATAAAAGAGCCAAGGTTGCCTGCCCCTGGTTTATGGGAAGCTGGCTGAGAAGATCACAAATGATGAATATATGATCACAGGAGACCTTGCAATGGCTGGAACTTCAAAGACTGGCCATAAATCCTGTGTTCAGCACCGTTGTAACTTCCAATGGTCGCTGAACAAGTGGGCATAACTGGAGGACTACCTGTGGATAGCCTGGAGTAGAAGGCAACCCCTCTAATTCACTTTCTGAATGAAGTCAGATGACTAGTAATGGTCTGTTTTTGTTTTCTTTTGGTAGAGATGGAAGCCTGCCAAATAATACGGTGCCTGGATTAACAGAAGCAGCATAACATTCTTCAGAGCAGTGGTTCTCAACCTGTGGGTCGGGATCCCATTTGGGGTCGAACGACCATTTCACGGGGGTCGCCAAACAACGCAGTCCGCCATTTTCCCCCCCTTTTCCTTAGCTGTGCTACTCCCTTTTATTCTATTGGCTTTTGAAAGCCAATAGAATAGACTCTCTTGAATAGAGTCTAATTCTATTGGCTTTCAAAAGCCAATAGGAATTGTCCAGGCTGTCTCTGCCCTGCTGAGCCCGCCAAAAGTCCCATTCTGCAAACGGTGCTGCACCAGTGAGTAGTCTTCGACTTACGACCGGTTGGGAGTCGCGGCATTAAAAGGTTGAGAACCACTGCTTCAGAGGAAGGAATGAAAATAGTTTTAGACTATTTATATTAGGCTCACATAAAGTTTTTAACCTTCCATTTTCCCTGTACCTAAGGAGTGGTAGGTGGAAAGAAGTTAAAGGAAGATTTTCATATTTCTTTATAGTTATGATGTCTTTCACCTCATGATCATCACATGATTTTTGGGGAGGACCACAGCTCAGCTGTTTGTTCAGGCTGCACAGAACAAATGTAAATAAGCAGCCTACTTCTTCCTCTAAAAATAATGCCGCGCTTAATCATGAGAAAAAGGTATCAAGTTATAAACATGGGCTGAAATTTATCCTAGATGATTCTTCCTACTCATTTTAGCATGCAGATTCCATCTTCTGAGTCCTGCAATGGAATTAAGCATTTTACTATCTTCGTGATGGCCAGAATCAATTGAATGGGCTTCACAGAAGATGTTGATGTAAAAAACCTAATATTCTGTAAGATCATAGTGAGTGCTGTGCCTTTCAAACATGCACATGCACAAATTATTTCTTTCCTTTCCTTTCCCTTCCCTTCCCTGTTTATAAGATCTTTAGAAGCCAGAGTAAAGGCAAGACGAAAAATAACTGAAAAAAAAATAAGATGAAAGGAAGAGTTGCAGGGAATGGACAAAAAAGGTAAAAAAAGTAGAACCCCAAAGTTAATTGCCCTTTCAAAAATAGAATGCAGAAGTTGTGTCCTGGACAGAGACAGGAAAAGATCTAAAGATAAACTTGCTGTTAAATTAGCAGAGACATCTGTCTTATGATTTCTACCTTTCCTTAAGTGTAGGACGGCACAAAACAACTACTGGAAGTCTCATTCTTGCTAAACAAATCACATTCATTTCTCTACAATTACAACAAAATCTCCTACATCTTATACAGTATTATGTCCGTTTCAGAGCTTTAAATATAGCCTGGTCTCTAAACATTAAAACAGGAAGGCACTTTTCAGCCTATGGACCCAGAAACCTAAAGGCAATCCACCTATTCCGTCATCTCTTATGTCTTCTTCCTATGACTATAAATATACATTTCTCATCAACTGGTGAGAAATCTTCCACTGTGCAGTGAGAAACAAAACACCTGCTGCACAACAGCACATAAGAACAATTATAAACAGAAAATCTGCTCTAGCGGCTAAAGCTCCAGGCTAGAAACCAGTAGACTCTAAATCAGGGGTCTTGGCCCTTTTATGACTTGTGGACTTCAACTCTCAGAATTCCTCAGCCAGGCACGCTGGCTGAGGAATTCTGGGAGTTGAAGTCCTCAAGCCATAAAAGGGCCAAGTTTGAAGACCCCTGCTCTAAATTCTAGTGCTGCCTTAGTCATGAAAGAGATTTTAGGCCAGTCACTTTTTTTCAGCCCAACCCACCTCACAGGATAGTAGTTGTGAGGAAAACAGAAGGATGAAGTAATATTAGGTATGTTTGCCACCTTGAGTTATTTATAAAAATAATAAAAATGGAATGTAAATAAATAAATATGGTAGAATGTACAATGGAAATTAAGTGAGATGTAAGTCAATATAACTGTACCTCAGAAAACAAGTTACCAATTTCTTGGTTTTTTTTTTTCCCTCAAACCTTTTAGGAAGTTTTTATTTTTTCACAGTTGCATTATAAAAGGCTACTGATGTGAACTATGTTGAACCTCATTTGGCTTATTACACAATAAAGTTTACTTCAGACCTACAAAGATTTTGATTGCCTTTTGTTTGGTATTTTGATTAGCATTATAGTAGCTAGATACTTTGGGCACTTTTTTTGTCCTTTACTTTGTGACTTTCTTTGCCCCTTAGGAAATGTCGCTATTCTGGGAAGTTTGGAGTGTCTTCCATTTCATGACGGCATCCCCATCATCAAATAATATTTCTAGCAAAATATGAACCAGGAAGAAGAGGGGCTTTCATTTTACCTCTGTTGTGCTGCAGAAGGACAATTGTAGGGTTGACAATTGTGGTGGAAGGGTAAGCACCCAAAGATCTGTTGATCGTCATTGAGACAGCAGGGCCACCACTGGACTTAGAGGCTTCATGTGGCTGGGAGCAGGTATCCTGAAACACACAAGTGTGAAGATCATTACCGTGTAAGATTGTTGAGGACCGTTTTGGCAATGAAAAAAAACAAACAAGCAAATGGAACAGTTTAACATAACCCACCAGCACAAGAAGTTGCTTTCACACAACATCTTTCCTGGTGCACATACAGAAAAAAGGATGAGTAATTACGTTCTGGGCCAGAAAAGAGAAAGTGAATACACAGAGTTACTGGCAGGAGTGGTTGTTTGTGCACATGCTAGCCTCATGCTTGATGAGCTCTCTCTATTTTAGAAAGAAGATTGGCAATACTATTTGCAAGCAATTAGCCAGCAGGATGTTAGTAAAACCAGGACTATGCGAGGGAGGAAGAATGTAGAGTCAGTCAGGACAAAGACATTCCAGTTTGGAGACTGATAAAAACCTGGTCAGCCACAACCAGTGGCAGAATCTCTTCATTTGTGGTAATAGAAATACACTTACTGCTTCAAGCATCAAATAGTCTGAGCCCATGTAGTCATTCTGAAGCTTGAAACCCAAAATATCTAGAAATGTTTTTCCAAGCTAAGACTGAAGGCAACTGTTTAAAGGATTCTGCACAGATAATCCGTAATTGTTGACTTGTATTTTGCTGGTGCTCCCAAAATAAATTATCTACACCTTGACCAGTTCAGCAGCTGCTACTATTCGAGATTCAGTGAAGTGATTGGGGGACAGGCGGAGTGGCCATGCGAGAACACAGCTAAGTGAACTGCTGTTCTGGACTGGACTCTGCTTCTAGGAAGAGACCATGAGAGGGAAAAATGAAAGAATCTGTGACTGGAGGCTGATCCTCTTACTGGCAAGGATCCATCTGGATCCCTGAATTTGAGATCCCACCCCACCTCACTGTAGTTCAAATGTGCTATGTTTGTGCTTCAACCTTGCTGGCCTGTCTCTGTGACTGAAGGATGAAGGGAAGCATCATTGACAGTGGCAAAAACCTTTCATTGCCTGAAACTCTGATTGTAAAAGGGTCCAAGACTGAAGGGCAGTACCATCTGTTAATAGTTATAGTAGCAGAAACAGGAGCAGCTTCAGTCCCCATATTGGCACAGTAGACTCTAGGTCACGTTCAAGCATGCCAACCTCTCTGGGGCATGTTTAATGCATTGCCAGATGCTACTGATTGGTTCACCTATCATACTTAGATGAGAGCATGAGACATTCCAAGGGTTGGGTGACCAACCCCAACATACAAGTCAGATCTATAAGAGGTACCGATCAATCAGGATCCTCAGTAACAGTTCTCCAGATAGTAGCACGTTGACACTTATCACCCATGCGGATCTGATGGAGCACCTTGTCTTTTTTAACCTGAATTTCTTCCCGGTGGATTTTCCCAGTCTAACACAGCACTGAGTCTTAAGACCTACCACTTGCATACTGCCAACATATAACTTATGGTAAGGTTGTCCCTCCAATACTAACTTATCTGGGTCATACTCAGACCTTGAAAACAAAAGAAATGTTACTCTCATAAACGTGGAATATCAGGTTGTATGGACTCTGTACTCAAATCTCATATCACTAGCACTCTTGGCTACAAAAGATTTCCCGAGAAGACTGAGATCCATGGGCAATTTCCCTAATAACACAATTTTAGTCACCATGGATATTTAGGCAGTAAACACCAACATCCCCCACAAACATGGACTTCAAATCATTAAGAACATCATCACTAATACTAATACACCATGCCTAACCATTAGACTGTGGGACTTTGCATTCATCCTTAACCACTTCACCTTTGGTAATAATGTATACCTGCACATCAGTGGCCCAGCCATGGGCAGACACATCACTCCTCACTCCAACAGCTTGAACTTGACCCTAGAGCAGTGTTTCTCAACCTTGACAATTTTAAGGCATGTGGACTTCAACTCCCAGAATTCCACAGCCAGCAATGCTGGCTGTGGAATTCTGGGAGTTGAGGTCCACATGCCTTAAAATTGTCAAGGTTGAGAAACACTGCCCTAGAGTCTACCGTGCCACTATGGGGACTGAAGATGCTCCTGTTTCTGCTACTATAACTATTAACAGGTGATATTGCCCTTCAATCTTGGACACTTTTGCAATCAGATTTTCAGTCAATGAAAGGTTATTGTCACAGTTGACCCAGAACAATCCTTTCTTAAGGGTTATTTGTCTCGCGTGTAACCTGGATCTGCATAAGCACCTGTCTTCCTTTCTTCCCTCCCGCCCCACCTCATTACAATTTGATGGCTGCAGCTCATGAAAGCTTATCCCTTACAATTTGTGAGTTGAAAAATGTGCTATCAGACTCCTTCCAATCCATAACTAGACAATGGTTCATCTGAATGAATCACATTGAGTCTTTACTTATGGAAGGGACTGATGTGGCTGAATGGCTCATTTACCCCTTTGACTGATGCTGTTCACATTTTGAGATAATTGGATGTCTCTTTCTCAGGGCTAGAGCAGTACTTTAATGATGCTCACAGGTAATGGAGACCCTGTACATTCCTTAGTCTCTGCACCACCTCAAATGCAGTGGGTCTCAGACACAATCCCTCAATCCTCAACACTCTTGGCTTGCTCCTTTGGCCCTTCCACAACCATAACACAGCTAATAGGGATGTTCAGGTGGGATGAGTTGTTATGAGGCCACACATACCCACATATGGTGTGGATCAGTGGTTCTCAACCTGTGGGTCGGGACCCCATTTGGGGTCGAACGACCATTTCACGGGGGTCGCCAAACAAGGCTGTCCGCCATTTTCCCCCCCTTTTCTTTGGCCACACCCCTGGCACCCGGTGATGTATAAGTGGTTGGGGGTCACCACAACATGGGGAACTGTATTATGGGGTCGTGGCATTAGAAAGGTTGACAACCACTGGTGTGGATGGAAGAGATACTTTGGTCCAGAGAGAAGAGGACACTCAAACCTCTTATCATTGCCTGTCTGCCAAAAAGGGCAAGGTGTGGGAAGTTGGATTTTATGTATATGTTTGTCTATATGCATCCTGCAAAAGAAAACAGGTGTGACAGATAAATAAAAATTGCATAAACTGCTACTCTCAAAAAGGGTTGATAATACTATGAGGATGCAAACCCAAAGAGTGTTAAACATGATGAGGCTTTGCATGTTATTAGTTTCATTTATACAGATTTATATTCTGCCCATTCCCAAATGGTTTTAGAATTCACGGATGGATGGAGAAACTGAAACTCAAAACCAGCAACACAATCCTCTTAAACATTTCATAAAGGCTTGAATAAAAATATTGGTTTTCAAGCCCACTAAGCGCCTTTTGTTCCATGATGAAGCCCCACCGTGGATAAACAAGAATTTAATATTGGTTGTAAATATAGCAGAGCTGCTACATCCAATCACCACCCTTTCTACTGCATCCTGGCCTTATTTCTGATCCATCTTCAAAGGCTACTCCACAAATAATGCATTGCATATTTCCTAACATTCCTGGCACAGTATGTTCTAAGGACAGGAAAGGCAATCTGTCCTAAGACATCAGATCTTCCATTAACTCAATCCCAGTGGTATGCTAGAGAGCAACTTAGGCCTGTTGCCTTTAGCCAAATAAGATGTTTTATGGCTGGCTCTTAAGACAGCCATTTTGTGAACAGGTAGGTCTTCTGTCATAATCATTTTGAATGGGTCCACTTCACACCCTTGTTGCAACCTCCCTAAATTTTGTACGGCTAACCTAATCCATGAATAATAAAGGTCGCCTAGCCCAACATCTGGATAACTTCCCAGGATATCTCCAGCAAGAACGAATCTAAGGAATATGTTAGGATGACCAGGGAAATTTTCTCTGTGTCATCTCTGGATGAAAACAATTCCTTTCTCTCTTTGCAACAGATCTGATTCAATTATTTTTTCTGTGCAGAAGGAAAGATATGGATGTAACACTTTATGATTTCCATGGAGAAAGGTTATGAACTGTAGAGAAGGATCTCCTGAGATGGGAAAAACTCATGGACAATTAATCCAGATGCTCCTCATTCATGATCTAAGGCTTCCATCATTTATTTTTGGTTGTAATATGCTGCTTACAGCTAAATGCATAGAGTTTTTAAATATGAAAAAAGAGGAAAGAACAGAATTGAATATTATAGGAAAGAGTTTTAAGGCCAGAAGAGACAAACAATATACATGCCACAGAACAGAAGCAAAATTTCATGCCACTATCAAAAAGTGCCAAAGTCCAGGTTTGATATGCCAGGGAAAGGTGATTTCAACCTGGGTATACTTATTTAGCAGTAGACTCAGCATGGGTGTAATAAGGCTTACTGTTCGAAAGACCATTCCTGTGCTTTCAGTCGCCAAAATGCTGCTTGAGGTTTCTGTGGCCGGAGGGATCAGTAGAGGAGGTGGTGATGAGAGTGAAGGCACTTTTGCATGAGTGTGTAGCGCAGTCTGAGGTGAAAACAATGGGTGCTGGTGGTTGGGAGTTTTCTGGAGGTGAGGGGGAATGAAATCATCTAGCGTTGGAAGGGCCAGAAAGAAACCAGGAGACACGTTGTTTGAGATTTCTAAACCTTGGTCAAAATGGCGGAGAGATGCTGGTGATGTGCTTGGGCTGGATTCTTCTCTGCCTGGCTGAATCTGTTGGAAAGGCCCTGTTATAACCTCAGTTTGAACTGAGTTGGTGGGAGAGGAAGTGGCAGCCTGTGGGAGACAATACCTTGAGATAATAACAATAGAGAGGTGCAGGACATTCAACGACCCTACCTCAAGGAAAGAGCTGCTCATGAGAGGAATCTTTTTTTCCAAAGTAGCACATTTTACATAGATGACAACTTCTCATATAGCTCTCAAATATCATCATCAGTCAACGGATGAACTTAAATTACCTTCTATCCTCACATAATGGCACCTTGTGTCAGCTGTCACGTTGGCCCTTATCTAGAACATGAAAGATAGTAAGAAAGGCGAGGGCCTCTTGATTCTCCTCCTCTGTCGTGACCCAGATATCCGGGTAAACGGAATTCAGTTTATCCATAAAGCCATTCTTGTCTTGTTTTTTAATCACCACAAAGGTGTCATCGACATACCAGATCCAAAATTTAGGGTGGTAGTCTGCCATCACCACAGTCTCTAGTTGTTTCAAGACCGCCTCCGCCACAACACTCGAGATGGGTGACCCCATGGGTGTTCCTTTAATCTGTTCATATAAGATTCCTTGGAAGGTGAAGTGTGTCTTAAGGCACAAAGTTATTAATTGCACTAAGTCCTCGGTGTGGAGGGGGTCCCGTCGTTGTTCTTGTGTCTCTTGGAGGCGATCTTTTAATACCATGATAGCCATTCTTGTGGGATGGAGGTAAAGAACGAGGTGACATCATACAACACCATCACCTCATCATCCTCCACCTTCAGAGTTCTGATTTTTTTCAGGAACTCCTCTGCCAATCTTAAAGTGGTCTTATTATTGTCCACAAGATGGTTAATCCGGCCGCTCAGCCATTTGGCTAGTCCAATCTTATATGAACAGATTAAAGGAACACTCATGGGTACCATCTGGTAGCACACAAGATTAGCTGCATTAAGATCTTAATTAAACGCATTGACTCACATTGCAACACGGACAGAGCTAGAATGGAAGAAAAAAATTACCTCTATCGCGTATGGTATGCAGACGTAACGGTTATCCGACAGAGTTTATTAAACGGCACAGCAGACTACACCAACCACGCATTCACGCACAAGACAAGGCGACATGCACACAGCCCATACAAACGACCCTGCCTTACATCAACAGAGTATCAGAAGTAATGGCCAGACTGCTAGCCCCCTTCAACGTGAAGATAGCCCACAAACCAGACCAGACTCTCCGTGCTAGGATCATGCGCCCCAAGGAACCACTCCCCACTGGAGAAAAATCCTCAGTAATATATAAAATCAATTGCAAGGATTGCCCCTGCGATTATGTTGGTGAAACCTCCAAGAGACTTAAGACCAGGGTCCACGAGCATGAGCTGGCAGTTAAGAGAAGAGAGTAATATTCACAGGTGTGGACCCACATGGCTAACTACGGCCATGGATTCGACCTCACCAACGTCGAGGCCATATCCCAAGATAACACCAAGGGAGGCCGCCTCCTCAAACAAGCCTGGCTGTCAGACAAACACTCCATCAATCGTCACACAGAGCTCCCTCCAGCATATCACATATTAAGGGGATGGGAAAGACGGGGTGCCAGTTGGAAACACAGGCGACCAATTCACTCCGTACGAGATCAGAAAGAGAGGATGACAGGGGAGGTGATCATAACCCTGAGAGAAAGCAATGAACTGCGGATACACCCCACAAGTAAAATGATGTCTCTAACCCATTTAAACATGAAAGAGGAGAGGAGGGATGACATAATGCCAACAGACAACCCACCCCCAGGAGCTGATGTTCAGATCCATGGAAGAACAAGGAGGATGAGAAAAAACACGAGGGAAATATATCCCACAGGCGTCCAAAGCACAAACAACTCAATCCAGTCAGGACGAGGGAAGGAGAACAATGAACAAGTACCACCGGATGACTTCCCCCAAGGGGCATACACACATACCCGGAAAGAGGGAATGAGGGTAACAAGTAGTGGAGCCATTCCAAAGACACGCCCGGTTAGCAACCCATTAACACGCACAGGAGCTCATCCGTTAGAGAGAGAGAGAGAAGGGGGAGCGATAAGAAACAGGAACGAGATAACCAACCCCTAGGAGTTTACACACGGGCAAGGAAAACAACAGGGCTGGCAAATAGAGGAACAGAGCTTGAAGCACACACGCTAGATAGCGCAGCAATACAGAGGCAAACTAAGATGAATGAGGGGGTGGGGAGGGACGACCAGAAGCGGATGAACAGTGGATCTCCAGGCACCCACACACGCACAAAGAAAACAACAGCAATTGGAGAGGAGAAGACAACTTTAGAAACAGCCCCTTTAAGAACTACACAGCCGATGCTGATGGGCGGACCTATGACCCGGTCCAGGGTCAAAGCGCAGAGGCAGCCAGCCACATAAAAACGAGCTCCCAGATCCAGCATTTTATACCCTGACAATGTTGGTAGTGTGGCCGACGAAAGCTTGGTTTTGTAGATTAAACATTTATGTTTATAATTTTATCTTTGTGATCACCTTATTTTACTTCAAATTGGAAGTGTCTTGGCAACGTTTCGACGAAGTCTCATTCGTCATCTTCAGGCTGGTGTTTTCGGCTTTGTGCTTCTAGGAGAAAACACCAGCCTGAAGATGACGAATGAGACTTCGTCGAAACGTCACCAAGACACTTCCAATTTGACGCGGGAGAAAACCCGAATAACCAAAGACACACACACACACACACACACACACACACACACACACACACACACATATAAATGATTAAAAGTGAATCTCATATCTGAATGTGATAAACTATGGTTTCTCCTAAAGAATCTAAAATAAAATTACATTCAATTCAAGCTATATTTTCACTACTATGTAATAAATTCATACTTCTATTGCCAAAGCCAAACAAGCAAGGAGAAATTTAGGCTTTAAGAAAAAAATGTAAAGAATATTTAAATAAAATTGGAGGCAGAACCACAGAATTATCAGCAACTTCCTAACACTGCAGTGAAGGAATCTTGTTAGAATTTATTTCTATAATGAATTTTTCCGATATCAAAGCTCTCTGATTTAGATGCAAATTATCTAGACTTGATCACAGTAACAGTGTAATTAGACTACAAGAAGATTAACAACTGGGAGAGAAAAGAGGAAACAGAGGATGGACACGGCCCTCCTATATGTTATGACAATGATTAAGATTATGATTCTCAGGAAGCGTATTTTGGAAATTATACAAATCATAAGCAAGTTTATTCTTTTCTGTATTCCAGGGGATCCTAGCATGCAGTGGACCAAGTGGAGAAGGATTTCCTGAGTTCGTGCCTGATGTATCTGACTGACAACATTTTGGAAACACCAAATCATGAAAGCAAACCAACCAATTCACTTTTCAAAACGCCAGCTTTACAAAGTAATATTCCTTGGTGTAAATACAAATTACTCAAATTACAAGTCAGAGGCACATCTAAGACACATGCCTTTTTCATACCCATCTAGGCTTTCAGCTAGCTACTTACTTGTGGCTTGGTCTCAAAGACGTTTGGTCTCACGCTCCAGTAATCCTTCACAGACAGAATCTCCCTATTTGAGTCAACGCCAGAAAGTCCTCTCCAGCCATCTACAAAATGAAGACTTTCGGATCATTTAAACAATACTTAACGATGAAGATTTATGCTTGCATAAACAACCGATGTTTTGAGGAAATAGTAAAAAACTGAAGTTTTAATAATTACCTGTGTTGGTTTCTCCTTTCTGTTCAGTTGAATGAGCTGGTGACAAGCATCAGAGGGAATAAGAAAGGGGAAGAAACATCATATTTTAATACATTAGAGAAGAGCAGAGAAACGGACTACTTCATTTTGTGCCCGGAACACTTTCCAGCAAGGCTGCCTAATTCCCATAGAAACATGACTCCTTACAACGCCTGACCTTTACAAACACAAAGCCATAGTTTAGAGCAGTGAAGAAACAATTGTTCACTGACATTTCATTCTAGCACACAAAAAGGCAGCCAGAGTTCTCAATGAGACTTTCAAATGCCACACATTATTTCAAATGGAAGATTTCAATATTTAAGCTATGATGCAGGCCGAGAGCGGAAAATGTGTCTGCCCTTCATTAGCCTTGCCAGAAAAGTGGGCTACAAACCAGCAAGTGCATTTAAAAGCACCAATATGTCACATGCTATCTTTGTGGAGCCCAGCAAGAACACGAAGCATAGTGTTAACACTTTAAATGCTTGCCTTATTTATACTGCTCTGAAATCGTAACAGTAAAATCCAAAACTCTCCTTTCGGGGGCTAGAAATATTATCATGGCATTGCAGATTTCTTAACTAGATTCCAGGCAAGTTTATGCCTCTTTTTTAAAACAAAAAACCCTCCTTCTGACATTTTTCTATGTTTGATTTTGGCACCACTTATCTTTCCCATCCTTCACAAAACATGAGAAAAATAATCTCCCTAGCTCAGCAACACACTTTTCAAAACACAACTAAGAGAATCTGCACAAGAAGCCCATTCCCAACATTCCTTTTGGATTGCTGGAAATGTATAGAAAGAGCGTGGGAAAAAAGGGCCAAATAGCAGCAATGTGAAAGAAGCTGCATAGTAAAAGAACCTGAAAATCAGGCACGATCAACTTTTCTGGACCAACAATTAATTTTATGTCATGCCCTCAAAAACAGTCAAAGGCCGAAAGGACACATAGAGAGAATAAGAGAGCAGAGCATAAATAGTAATAATTTACTATTTAAATAAGTAGTAAGTAGCTTAAATAAACAGACCTTCTTCATTCCCCCAATATTAATTGGATTATTCCAAAAAGTTTAGAATGTTGTGAAAACTTTAGCATAAAGGCAGTACCTATTAGTACACAATTACTATTTATTTACTATACTATGTTTTATTTATTATTAACTATTGCTCTATTGCCCAATAATCGCTTCCTTAAGATAAATTATTCCAAACCATTAAGGGGGTCAAGGATGTAAATGTACATTTTGGAACAGGCATGTCAAACTCACAATGTCACGCGACGTATTGTGACTTTTTCCCCATTGCCAGCAATGAGGTGGGCACGGTTTCAGCATGACACATCCAGCCCATGGGCCGGCAGTTTGACACGCCTGTTTTAGAAGATAAACTGATTGGTTAAAAAAATATAGCTAAACTGAATATACTGTAGAGTCAAATTAGTCTTAGATCAAACCATTTTCATTTCTATTTTCCCTCACTTTAAACCTTACAAAGACTTTTTCCAGTCATTTGTCAATGGCAGCTATCAGTAAATGGCAATGTTGCTGCTGATGGGGGCAGGACATAAAGACCACAATTTGGGTTAGGAGGCAGAGATGAGGCTCTCCTCCCTAAGGAAGTTGGAAATGGAATTTGAAAGAAGCATAAATAAGCAGGAGAGAGGAAACGAGAGATAAATCTGCACAGGATTCTTGTGAGGATAATATAAATGTCCCTGGATTAGCTGAGATAGTATCATATGTAAAGAGCATGTGCAAGTCCATGATCAAGCCAAATCTTTTTCCAGTTTAGCATCTGGCCGCTGTCTGTCCAGCTCTGCATACAATTAATGATTTAGCAGAATTGTGTGATAAAGGGGGCACTAAAGAAAAATGTGGCCTACTGATTCAGCTGTAGAGTTACACCAGAAGAGTTTAGCAGACTTTGGTCATAACAGACAAAGATCTGTCCATACTCTATACATTTCTGTGCATGAATAAAGTTTCATTTCCCCTATCATGTATGAATAAAATAAATTACATTTGCGTGCATAAAATTCCATTCCCATTTTACAAATGCACATGCATGCATAGAATTCTGTGAGCTGAAGTCCACACATGTTCTTTATTATCTTTACTATAACTAAAACAGATGGCTAAGTACTTTAACAGTACACTGTGTGTATCAGTGCCATTTCCTACATTACAACATGCCTAAGGCGAATAATGATTACAGGATGGGCAGTGGCTGCTATAGCATGTTATTGTCCCCAGCAGCTATGTTGTAGTTGGCAAGGTCAAGCAGACTTGCTAGGGCTACTGCTAAATACGAGAAGCATAACAAGAGGAGAGTATGGAGTATGACTTTAACATTTTTAATTCGTGATTAGAGACCAAAAAACTCCCCATGGAGACGATTACAGAAGGAAATTGGTAATATTCTACTATTTCTCTATAAATATAGAGAAAAGATAAAAGAAATAAACATATTGAATTTCAGTGCTCAGAATCTTCTAATACCAATGGCAATTTAGCAAAAATACTACCAGTGGAGAAATCAGCAAACAAAGAACTTTCCAATCAGTCTACCTAAAGGGTAAGAAAGGGTTATGAATTTTGCTTACCAGTGTGATAGAGGGAGCAGTGATGAAAAATATGGCTTATTGATTCAGCTGTGGAGTCATGACAGATGTAACTATGCTATATATCTATATCTACGTATATGTATACGTATATGTATATGTATATATATAAAATGTATGTATGTATGTTTGTATCTCCCCTTCATCAACACTGAAGATAAGGCAATGAACACTGCTAATTTGTATGCTTTTTGGGGATATATAGAAATAAGTCTATACAAATAACAGAGGAATATGAAAGGGCTATGAAAGAGGGCCTTGAGGCAGTAACATGGAAGATAAGGGTAGCAAGAGTAATAGATAATGGAAATAAAGAGTGCATGAGGATATGTGAAATACTGGTGGTTCACCACTGAACATATAACTAAAACACACTATCAGCAAATAACCCAAATCTGTAAGGACTAAGTCAGGAAAGCTAAGGCTCAAAATGAACTAAATAAGACATGCAACAAATGCCCAAAATAATTATAGAAACATTTCTTTCAACATGTAAAAAACAAGAAAAAAGTCAAGGAAATGATTGGTCCACTATTGAGAGAAGATGGCAAGGATGTAAGAGGAAGCAGGGAGAAAGTGGAACTACTTAATTATTTGACAAAGTAGACCACAGCCTATTTCTTGATAAAATAGAATATGGGATAGACAGTACCACCACCAGATGGATTCACAAGTGGCTGGCCAACCATATTCAGTGGGAAGTCCTCAATGGAACTATATCTACATAGAGGGAAGCATGCAGTGGGGTACCTCAACTTCTGTCTTAGACCCACTACTCTTCCAACATCTTCATAAATGATGTAAATGAGGGGATAGAAGGGTAATTAATTACATTTTTAGATGACACCAAGCTGGGGGCAATAGCTAACACTGTAGTTCAGGGGTGTGAAACTGCCGGCCCATGGGCTGGTTGCATCATATGAAAGCGGCACCTACCCCAGCTCCGGCAATGCAAAAAAAGTTGTGATACGTTGCGATGTGTCACGTGACATGGCGAGTTTGATACCCATGCCGTAGATCAGTGTTTCTCAACCTTGACAATTTTAAGGCATGTGGACTTCAACTCCCAGAATTCCACAGCCAGCAATGCTGGCTGTGGAATTGTCAATTGTCAAGGTTGAGAAACACTGCTGTAGATGATAGACTTGATTCGGAAGAACTTGACAGATTTGAACACTGAGCCATATCCAACAAAATGCAGTTCGGTGGTGAGAAAAGTTTTACACATAGGCAGGAAAACCAAATGCACAGATATAGACTAGGTGTTTCCTGGCTCAATAGTAGTAACTATGACAAGGATCTAAATGTCCTACTAAATCACTACCTAAATATGAGCCAGCAATGTGCTGCAGTTGGCAAAAAGGCTAATGCAGTCCAGGTTGCATCAACAGAGGGATAGTTTCAAGATCATATGAAGTGACAGTACTACTTTATACTGCACTGGTGAGATCACACTTGGAACACTGCTTCCAGTTCTGGTCACAATGATATAAACAGATGTCAAACTTCAGAAAGAGTACAGAGGAGAGCAACAAAGCTGATAAGGAGTCTGAAGGTTAAACAATATAAATTGCTGAGGGAACTAGGTATGTGTCAGGTCCCTGTCAGAACACTGCCATTTTGAGGGGAGAGGGGAATGTTACTTCCAGATTGAAGAATTTAATGCTTTCGCTTTGATATATCTGTGGAAGAATTAGGGAGAGGGGATGGACTCCTTTCCAGCTAGTTCCTACCTGTAACCCAGGTCATGGCACCAGACAACAACTTATTATCACCTTCTCATCTTGGAGTTCTCAGAACACCTTCACACCAGTGGATTGGCTCCTGATGGACTGGAGCACTGGGGTGGGACTTGGACAATGGTAAATTAGTTTAACGATTCACATGGGACCTTCAGATTCTGCCTGGCTTCTCTGCAATCACTTCCTCTTATTAAAAGTTCCTTTCGTAATAACGCCTGTTTCAAAAGTTATGCTTTCCTGAGAAGATAGCTGAGGCAGGACCTTATGTGTAGTCTGATAGCAGTCTTCCAGTACTTAAGGGGCTGTCATAGAGAAGAAGGGTTGACTATTCTCCAAAACATCCGAGGGCAGGTCAAGAAATAATAAGTGGAAGGGAGATCCAACCTAGAACTGACAGTGAGAACAATTAATCAGTGGAATGGCTTGCCTCTAGAAATTGCAGGTGCTCCATCACTGGAGATTTTCAAGAAGAGACTGGACAGCCATTTGTCCAGAATGGTATAGGGCAGGAATAGGCAACCTTGGCTCTTTTATGACTCGTGGACTTCAACTCCCAGAATTCCTGAGCCAGCATGGCTCAGCTTGGAAACCTCTCCCTGTCCCCTCAGCATGGCCGGTTCAGGAATTCTGGGAGTTGAAGTCCACGAGTCATAAAAGAGCCAAGGTTGTCTACCCCTGGTATAGGGTCTCTTGCTTGAGCAGGGCATTGGACTAGAAAACATCCCTTCCAACCCTATTATTCTATGTTCTATGGATTGATGATTTATGGATTTGGGGATTAAAAAGGATCAAAGAGGAAGGGAAAAGAATAAAATTGAAATAATAGGATAGATAGATAGATAGATAGATAGATAGATAGATAGATAGATAGATAGATAGATAGATAGATATAGACAGAAAGACAGACAGGGAGACAGAAGTAATAAGAGCAGAAATCGTAACTCTATGTTTTCTCTTTTTTCTTTTTTTATTTTTTATATTGTATACTAGAAATTCTATTTTTAAAAAAGTATGAATATGTGTATGGATGTTGAAGAAAGAATAGCTTACAAGTTTGCAAAGTAAGGAGAGGCATGTGAATAGAACTAATACACAGTAATCTACACTGAATTAAATTTTCTTTTTCCATCTGCCTCCAGTTTCTTCACTACTTTCGTTTTCTATACTTTGCATAGTAGCGCTTACTCAGAAATGAACAGCGTGGTGATTCTATGTCATCATGAGAACAAAAATATCCTAGAGAATGGCACGTCCTGCTCAGTACCCATTTAAATATTCTTACTCAGAGTTTGTTTACTATAATTATATATATATATATATATATATCTTTCTAAGTGAACACAACAAAATGCCATTGTAGTGAGATATCATAACCATTCAAGTAGAAGATACTTCCCCTTCCCACAAAAGATCAGTAGAATAAAAACAGAATTTCTTGAGCTTCTATGTAAGTAGACTTTTAAAACATTAAAGTGAGTTGTTTAGCTAACCCTAAAAGAATGGAATTCAAGTATTTTACATAAACTTAAAATGCACACTTTGAATTTCTGAGACTTTATTCTCATATTCAAGTGTTGATTCATTCTTTGTTTCACTGAAATTTGCACTGTGTCTTTGAAATGTTTGCTTATTTGCAATTATATTCTCTAATCAATCCTTGAAACAGCTAAACATCAGTCGATCCAATCTCAGCATGCAATTTCAGTTAACAATCTACATGTTTTATTTTTGGATTATATCTTTTAAACCAGGAACTTGTCTGTTAACCCAATCAAGGATCAGAGGATCAATGAATTATTTTGCTTTTCTGTGATATGATCTCCCAGACTGGATCTTACTTTTGGTGTGCTGGATGTCTTGTGTAGACTTTGGATGGCTAACCCTGAGATTCTTCTCAGAAGCTGCAGATGCCCAAAGAGTCACAGCTCCTTTTCCAGTACAGATTTTGCTGGACTCCTGATCTACAGGGGGGAAAATGTTGGAATATTGAGACTTGAAAGTAATTTAAAATCGTAATATATACATGATTGTTATTTCATTATTACTTTAAAGCAAACTGATTTATTCACGATCCTGCTTAATTTATTTCTCATTCCATGCTTAGGTTTGTGTACGTACAACTAGATTACTGTAGCATCTTTGCAGGTTTGTATTCTGTTTTTCTTTCAAGCTGGCTGTTCTTCCAATATCATTCTATCTCACTCCATCTTTTCCTTATAACAATCCTATGAGACATGCTAGAGCAGTGGTTCTCAACCTTTCTAATGCCGCGACCCCATAATACAGGTCCCCATGTTGTGGTGACCCCCAACCACTTATACATCACCAGGTGCCAGGGGCGTGGCCAAAGAAAGGGGGGGGGGAAATGGCGGACAGCCTTGTTTGGAGACCCCCGTGAAATGGTCGTTCGACCCCAAATGGGGTCCCGACTCACAGGTTGAGAACCACTGTGCTAGACTGAGGCTTAGTAATCACCCAACATCAAGAAGCACACACCTTAACTGTGTGAGGATTTGAATATGGGACTCCTCAGTTATAGCCCAACAGTTCAAGAATCAAATTTCCAAATCAAAACAATGAAACTATGAAAGTGGGGAGTAAAGCCAGAATGCCTAGAAATTAAATACTTGTACTGCATTTTAGAACAACTAACATGAGTCCGTTACGATTGTACTTCTTCCCATTCTTAAACCTCTGTAACGCTTAACATATGAACTCCTTAAGTGGATGAATACGACAGTGCTTTCCTCATCAAAGTCGTAAACTTGCATCTTTATTTTAGCACTTCAGCACAGAAATGAACTTATCAGATACCTTTTGTTTAAGATCTGAACTTTTTGAGTTTAAGATGCCCCAACTAGAGTTCAAAAATGCTATTCTAATCGCATCAAAAGTATTCTATCAAGCGTGGAACAATTCCAGAATTGTTAAAACAGGATTGGAACACTCTCAGAAATACTGTAATCATTTCAAATTTAGACCAACCATTATAATATTAAAAGAAGGCATTACAAGCTTGAAAAATCTGAAATTCAAAAACTTTTGAATATTTTCCCATATATTTCTTTCTAGTCTGTTGATTTTGTATTATGCTTACTTATTGCCATATGTTCAATGCAACCTTAATTACTCAACTCTTCTATAGTGTGGATAAAATTGAATCCATTCAGTTCCTTATGGATCTTCCGTTTTACCCCTTGGGATCCACTTGAAACTACCATCAAATAATAAATCTCATCCACCTAGTATACACTGAACTATTTCAGAATTTTGCACCACCATACTGCAGAACTGTGGTGCTGAGGCACAAATATTCAAAAATTTTCATTATTTTAACATTGAATTCATCTTAAAACACTATCAAATATCCCATATCCCTTTTGATTTCCCACCCCTTCTACGCAGTCACTGTATTAAACTTTGCATACATTAAAGGTCAGAAGAAACATCTGGGTAGAATTGATAAACAGATTAAGTTTAAAGTTCTTTACTAACAAAAGCAGGTGTCAACACTGCTAATATTGAATATTAGGCCTGTTTCATCCCAAGCATCAAAGTTTCCAGTAGAGAAGAACTTCTGAAAAGCTACCAGAACACCCCCAAAAGAGGTGAATCACAGATCACAGCATGATCCAGATGAAATAAAAAGAATCACTAGAATTTACACACTCCAAAAAGCAGCAACTGCCCTGTGGCAACAAGTACTGGAAATATCTTTGTTTCGATCCCACAAACCTTTTTCATGCTGGTTTATATTCAGTGCTAGTCCATTCACGACATCATCTTCTTCGGTTTCTGAAAAATTGGTAGATACGATCAGTATAATATCCTCACAATATGGTTACATCAGTTAGTAAAATGGCTAAATAACTGTACTGTACCCATTGCAGAAAAAAAAAGTCAGCAAAAATGACAAAGAAGAGATCTGGATAAAAAATTTTTATGTAGTTGTCATTCTAGATCAGCGGTTCTCAATCTATGGGTCGCGACCCCATTTGGGGTCGAACGACCATTTTACGGGGGTCGCCAAACAACGCGATCTGCCATTTTTCCCCCTCAGGGGGCGGCGCTGTGCATGCACGCCGCGTATGGGGGCGGCGCCACGCATGCGCGCCACGTCCGTGTGACCGGGGGTCGCCGTATAAAAAAGTTGAGAACCACTGTTCTAGATAGAGATGGGGATTCTAAACTAAGTGTCATGTTCCTGCTTAATACTTATACATACCATATAATGAATTCACTAATTGCTGGTGTTAAACATTTTTTATTATTCATGAAAAAGATACAGCAAAACATGGCCCAAAAGTTGGTAGGAAAAAAACTGTCAGAGGAAAAAACAACAACAGCAAAAAAAAAAAAAAGTGATCTAGTCCATCAAATGCCAAGTCCATTTAAGAAGTGGATACACAGATAATTTCAGTATAACATAATTTCTCAAAATAAGGAAGTCTTGGCACCTTCTATGATACAAATGCCCATCTGCATGAGGATTTGATGGCAATTTGTTCACAGATGTAACAATGAGCCTTAAGAGTACGGAACAGAGTCTATAGATGGCATTTCCCACCGGTAAGGTTAGCCAAAATGGGTTCAAACATTTCACCCCTATGCTGGAAATGTAAAACAGCATTAGGTTCATACTACCATATGTGGTGGGAATGCCCAAAGATCTGTGAGTATTGGAACAGGACACGAAACTGGTTGAGGGATATATTAACACTGGACTTAGAGTTAAAACCTGAACTCTTCTTGTTGGGAATAATGACAGAAAAATACGACAAGGGAACAATCTACCTGCTGCTACACATCCTGACTGCAGCTAGGCTTGCTTTTGCGCAAAAATGGAAGAGCAAGGAAATTCCCACAGAGGAAGAGTTAAAACATAAAATATTAGCATGTGTGGAAACGGACAGGCTCACAATGATATTAAAAGAAAAATGTGGATCAGTTTATTATGAAACCTGGGATAAATTTTACCACTGGAGGAATTTGAAGAGGACAGTCGGGATTAAAGATGAATGTTAAGATAGAAATATATGTTATTTTAGAACAAGCATTGTATATAAAACTTAGATGTATATGTAGAGATGAAGAATTGATTGTAAAAAGGGAATAATCTTTTAAGAATGTATACACTGGAATGTCACGTCAAATCCAATGTTTGTTTGTTTTTAATTGTTTTATAAATAAAATTTGTATTTTTTTTTAAAAAAAGAGTACGGAACAGAGTTTCTAAGGAAGAGGAAAGGTTGCTATCTCCAGGGAGGAGACTTGATGAGAGGAAAAGTTGTCATTTGTCCACCTGGATCCATCTCCAAAACACTTTTCTCTCAGATAGCCTAGCTTTTAGGGTCCTAGGTTGACCAATGCCAACACCTGGCCTCCTTATCTGAATGAGATTTTCTTTTCCTTGTTACCCCATCATGGTTGATTCAAGACTTCTGATAGCCCTGGAGATCAGGCTGCCATCTTTGGAGAGTCCAAAAACCAAGAGTGCCCACTGTATGTATGTATGTATGTATGTATGTGTGTGTGTGTGTTGTGATTCCGTGCCAGCCTGTGCTCCCAACAGCTGAGTCTGAGGAATCTAAGGAGGAGGTGGAGGAGGCATTTGAAGGGCCATCAGGGGCAGAGGGAGGCTCTGATGAATTACAGGACTCACGGTTTGATGCAGAGCCTGGGCCCTCCAGTCGTGTTCCTGATGAAGCTCAGCTGTGTGAGGAGAAAGACTCGGAGGACTCACACCTGATGGACTTGCTAATTGATGCTCGCACACGTCGTCAATTAGCGAGAGTAAATCAGCAGCAGTCAATACGGCAACTCCAGAGTAAAAGGAGAAGGCAATGAGAGGCAACGCCGTGGGACTGCTGTATAAAAAGAGGAGGTGTGGGCGGTGTTGGTTGCTGAAGGCAACCATTTGCCAAGTGCTTCTTGGAATCCTGGTCTGTTGCTTGTGACTTCTCTTCTGTTTGCATCGTGTTTCCTGTGGACTATTTCCTCCCTTTGGACTTGAGTTTTGCTGTTTGTGTTTTGGACTATTTGACAGGTCTGTCACCCATATTAAAAGGGGTTTGTTTGGTTTTAAAGTCTCCAGCCTATTGTATCAGCAGGGGTTTGGTCCTTGTGCCTTTAACAAGGATAGCAATAGGCTGGGATAGAACAGTATGAGAGAGTATGTGCATATGACAGCAGACAGTTCTGAAAGTGTGTACATCTATTTCAAGTGCAGCTGGTTATTTGGAAGTATGTATCGCAGGAAGAAAGGAACGGGAAATGCTCTGGGAGCAATTCTTGAGAAGATTACTAGTAGAAATGGAGCAAAGTAGATAAAAGGTGAGAAGTCTCACCTTTTATCAATTTTCAGTCTGACAAAAGAAATGATAGTGATAGGAAAAATGACTTCTCTATTCTACAAGGCATGTCAGCTGGAGTTGCTGGTAAAATAGCTTCTCATCCAAGACTTAATCCTGAATGGAAATGCTAACTTGGCAGGTAACATGGAGGGGGAACCAGAGGGAATTAATGCCTCTCACCTCTATCTGCCAGGTTTCTCTATGGTTCAACAGGGAAGTGGAGAAAGAGCCTCAATGCGCCATCCAAAATTCTGTCAATGTGGAACGTACGTCTTCAGCCCTATTGCTATGGCTGGGGAGACCAGGACGAAGCAAAATACTGGGGCTCAAAATGCCCTCTGCGCTCTAGCAATAGCCCTTCTTAAGCTGTCTATCTGGAATATTCTCAAGAAGTCACTGTGGTGTAACCCAGCCTCTTTTCCTGGGGAAGTTCAATGTCCATGCTAAGCCCAATGAAGAGAAGCTCAGCAGTTTGTATCCACCATGCAACTATGGCCATATTTCAATTAGTATCTGACCCTATGCATGCCGTATGGAAAGGTCAGTAAGGCCTGAATCAAAATACCCGTAGGTTAGCATGAAACAAGATCTGCAGATATTCTCACTCACTTTGTGAGGTCAGACAGAAGATCATCCAGTGGCAACTGGAACTGCCACAATTACTATTGCAAGTCAGTGTGGTCACATGACAATATGGTTCGTGACTGTTGCTAAGCAATGGAGTTGCCAGTCCCAATTAAGAGAGGATTATCTGTATTCTATCAACGGTTAAGACTTCCAACTTTTCTTTTTCAGGAGGATGCTATCTTTTGACTCGCTCTGCTTTGTAATTTTTATTATGTATTTCTGCAAATAGATGTTTTAGCCATTATACACATTACTCATATGAATCAACTGTACAAAATGTTCATTAAACAAAACAATTTTTCAAGAATCTTCAGTTCTCAATCTTCCTGTGTCCCTTTTAATGAAATAGTGGTTTATCATTTATTATATTTTCAAGACTACACTGTTTGGCCATATTTCTCAGTTCATTTGCAATAAAATGCATTAAAAATCAAACTCCTACAAGGAGTTCAAACAATAGCAACAGTTTTCAGCAAACAAATTGTTTTATCAGAAAAGAATTCCTAAGTTAAGGATAAGTTTGACTCTTCTTAGTAATATGGAAAATGGCTGGTGAAGTGACCGTAACAGCCCCTGGTCCACTGATGAGCTAAATATTTACCACATTGTACATAATAATTAACAGATCTTTCATCTTTAGTGTTGCTTGGTTGGGATCTAGCAATTTCTAACATTCTCTTGCATGCTGACAGCTCGATTTCTCTAATACTGTATGCCCTTTATTAAACCTGCTAATGGAGCACCTAACTGTAACTACATTTGTTAAATGTTTTTTTAGCATAACCTTTATTTTCGGTTCCATAGCAACATTAACTCACAATACCTCAAAGCAATAAAGGGGCTGAATGACTTTCTATGGTGTATACTTTTGTAAAAATGCTTGCTGGGCAAAGCTGTTGTCCCATTGTCCTGGACAAACCCACTGAGGACCTTAACAACTGCTGGGTCCTCCTGGAAGAGTGGAGAAGAGGGAGAAGAGATGCTGAATCTCTCTCTTTCTCCCTAGCACATTTCCTTATACCAGTGGTTCTCAACCTGTGGGTCGGGACCCCATTTGGGGTCGAACGATCATTTCACGGGGGTCGCCAAACAACGCAGTCCGCCATTTTTTTCCCCCTTTTCCTTAGCTGTGCTACTCCCTTTTATTCTATTGGCTTTTGAAAGCCAATAGAATAGACTCTCTTGTTGTTGTTGTTGTTGTTAATTGCGAAGTCGTGTCCGACCCATCGCAACCCCATGGACAACGTTCCTCCAAGTCTTCCTGTCCTCTACCATCTTCTGGAGTCCATTCTTGAATAGAGTCTAATTCTATTGGCTTTCAAAAGCCAATAGGAATTGTCCAGGCTGTCTCTGCCCTGCTGAGCCCGCCAAAAGACCCATTCTGCAAACGGTGCTGCACCAGTTGAGTAGTCCTCGACTTACGACCGGTTGAGTAGTCCTCGACTTACGACTGGTTGGGGGTCGCGGCATTAAAAAGGTTGAGAACCATTGCCTTATACTATTTTTAAAATTAGACTTTCCCATGAAATTGGAAACTGTTGATTTAGGAAGCCAACGGGAAGCCTCATTTTTATCCTGGATAAACCCCAGCTCTGAGGTTACAAGCCTGAGACTGGAGGCTGAAGGATTAACCAGAAGCCCAGATCTATAATGGGCTTCTGAACTGTGCCTTTAGGTTGAATAGGTGGCCTATTCCAGTTTCCTATTGAAAATAACCTCCTTTGGACTGCTATTCCCGTATCTTATACCTGGCTGTATATCAGTGACATACAGACTGCTGTTTCCCTCTTGAGGTAACCATTGAAGTAACAGAAATCTCTGGCCAAAACATTGTGCGTCAAAGTACCAGCTTCCCCAGCTGTGTTTTCTTACTACTGAAAATAAGAAAAGCTTTATGTATCTGTCATGAATCGTGTAACATACAATTCAAAGTCTAAGGTCAGGAAGAAGAAATGTCTCCTATTAGTTGTGCAGATGGATAAGCTGATCGACATATACTTAGAGCAGTTTTTCCTCGCATTTCAGAACAAAAAAAAGGTCAAACTTACCTGATGTCATGGCACCAAAAGATCCTGGTTTAGGCACAGGCAAATTTGGATCCTCTCTGTGAATTAAAAAAAAAAAAAAGGAGAATGACATTAACTTATATTATACTTTTAAAAATAAGCTCCATATTGCTAGATTATAAATATGCTCTAAGCCACACTAAGATGATCGTTGTTACATTGATAAAAATAGCTTATTGGTAAGTATCATCAGCTTAGGCCTACGAGATAATGGAAGGATCACTCCAAAGTTCATTTATTGTACTGTACAATCAGGTTATTTAGAGGCTTCTAATACAGTGTTTTTCAACCTTGACAATTTTAAGGCATGTGGACTTCAACTCCCAGAATTCCACAGCCAGCATTGCTGGCTGTGGAATTCTGGGAGTTGAAGTCCACATGCCTTAAAATTGTCAAGGTTGAGAAACACGGTTCTAATAGGTAGCACTGGATGTGATAGGAAAGAAGATTTAGGATAGGGGTCTTCAAACTTAGCCCTTTTTATGACTTGTGGACTTCAATTCCCAGAATTCCTCAGCTAGCAAAGTTGAAGTCCACAAGTCATAAAAGGGCCATGTTTGAAGACCCCTGTAGGGGTGTGGGTCTATACATACGTTGTATATACTATGTTTAGGTGTGTGTCATGTATGTGTTTCACTTTGAGAGCGGGCAACTAAATTTCATTTTTTGATGTGTGCTGTTGTGCCCACATTTTAAAAAAATGACAATAAAGGTTATTTTATCTTATCATCCCACCTGTAGCAATTATGTAATTATTATATGTGTAAGAGATAAGCGAGGGAAGTTGGAAAACAGAGAGCTACAGGACACCTCTTACTATGTTAGTATATTGTATTATATTGTACTTATGGTACAAAATAAATCAGCCAATAAATCAGAGGACACCTCCTCTACAGATATACACAACCACTTTCCAGTCATGAGGAAGCACAGGATTCTAACAAACAGACAGTCTGCCTCAGGGCGCAAGAGAAACATCTAACATAGGGGTAGTCAACCTTGGCTCTTTTATGACTTGTGGACTTCAACTCCCAGAATTCCTGAGCCAGCTTAGCTTAGCTGACTCAGGAATTCTGGGAATTGAAGTCCACAAGTCATAAAAGAGCCAAGGTTGACTACCCCTGATCTAACAGGACCACAAGCTCTTAAAAAACAAACGAAGAAGCAGCCCATTTAAGAAAATGAGGAAGATTATCAAAGCTTCACCCTGTGATGGCTATAAATAGCTAGCCACCTTCTGCAAAGATCAGGAATTTAACAAGCCTCCCACCCTCAACAGATTTTCACAGCGTCTCTCCCTCGCCCTCTACAGAAGCAAGCAAGCACACAATTTGCAAGAGGAAAAGAAGCAAAGCTATAAAGAGAAGACATATATTTAAATGCCCCATTAGCATTAGGGATACTCCATTTTCAACTGGGACGGTAGAGAAGTTGAATATATGGATAACCTGCCGGTTTCTGCTCACTGTGCCTTGATCAATAACATATGCAACGTTTCTTTCCGTGTGAGCAGGCATGTAAGTGTGCACATTTGAGGGATTGGTGTGTGAGGAAAGGAACAAGCCATCTTGTGAGAGATGCTTCTCACAAGCAGAGGGAAACCTTCAAGATCTGGAAGATGACTTTTTAGGGGGGGGGGCATAAGAAGAGGGAGCAGCATTTTCTCACAGAAGGGACTATTCAATTTTATTATTAACTGGTTGTGCAAGAACTGAATTACAGACTACACCTTTTCCTGCAGTTGGCCTGAAATGCTTGCTTTATTGCAGTGGTTCTCAACCTTTCTAATGCCGCGACCCCATAATACAGTTCCCCATGTTGTGGTGACCCCCAATCACTTATACATCACCGGGGGCCAGGGGTGTGGCCAAAGAAAAGGGGGAAAAAATGGCGGACTGCGTTGTTTGGCGACCCCCGTGAAATGGTCGTTCGACCCCAAATGGGGTCCCGACCCACAGGTTGAGAACCACTGCTTTACTGTGAATGGTTGCATTATGCTAAGCAATGGGGCTGCTCAAAACAAGACGATTTCTGCTCAAAAGTCCCAGAGGTGAAGATCTTCAGATGAAAATTTGGCACTGAGATGGAAGTGGGAGAATGATTGGCCTGGGGTCCCAAATATGTCCTCTGTGGAAAAGCAGAAAGAATTTTGGCTCAAGAATTTCACGGCCCATACAGGAATGTGCAGAGAATGGGAAATGCTCTCCAGGTGAGCTGTGCAGGTAAGTGTGAGATCTTATTATTGATAGCCAGTGTTAGATTAGGACTAGGAAGCCTGTCAGCCCAGGTATCTCTGGGTAACTTTGGGGGGAATCAGTCTCTCTCAGACCAACCTACTCTAGGAACTGCTGCCCCCAAATATCCTGGACACCATCTTGTTCCTGAAAAAAGCAAAGGCTATAAATTTAATAAATAATATTGCATATAATTTGTCTAAATCTGAAATGATACCTTTGGGAACTCCTATATGGTCAAAATCAGTTTCTTTCAAAACATTTCAGAAGTATAGTAAGGCTCAAGTTAATGGACCATTTGCAGAGGGAAATTCACCCATTAAAAACACATTTACATCATTTGCTTCAATTTATATCATTTGCAGTAAAACATTAATTAGTGGAGAAAGATCCAATTAAAATAAACATGAGGGAGAGATTCCATGGAAACATTATCCATTTTATTCAAAGCTAAACTGAGGTCTTGCTGTATCCAAAAATCATCACTTGTCTTATGCTTGGGATGTAGAGACATCTTGTATATCAGGACTCAACAGAATTTAAATATGTCTGCACTGAAAACAGCAAAATATTATGACCGGATGGATGCCCTCACTTCAACTTAGCAGTTAGGGAAATATTAAATTTAATTTTAATATTAAGACGAAAGAAATACTTTCAGCATAGCTTATTTATAACATTCATGTTGTCCTTTTATACATTCCTAAAATGTTTATTGGATTATTCCTCTCAAAGAACGCTCTTTCCCTTCCAGCTCTTGCCTATTTGTCATGCAGAAATGGGAATTCCAATTTCCGGATTTGGAGTTTACTTTATAAGGCAGATCTTCTTTCCCAGGTTGATGACTAACAAATGTTACCAACTAGAAATATATTTTCATGGGTCTTCTGGGAGCTAATGTATTCATGTAGATTGTATTTAGTATGTTATTGTAACCATATGGGAAGTTTTGCACAGACAGGCAAAATACACTATTTGCTTGCTCGAGCCATTCTTAACTGTTTAAAAATTTTACCAGGTTCAGACCTAGACCATGATTGTGGGAGATGACTAATGCCTCCCTGAGATAGATAGATAGATAGATAGATAGATAGATAGATAGATAGATAGATAGATAGATAGATAGATAGATAGATAGCAGATAGATAGAGATAGAGAGAGAGAGAGAGAGAGAGAGAGAGAGAGAGAGAGAGAGAGAGAGAGAGAGAGAGAGAGAGAGAGAGAGATCTTACAACCATATCAAAGAAAAGAAAGTAAAATCCAAGGTCTATTTCAAGGGGGAAAAAAGAATCAAGTTCAGATAAATATATCACCTTTGCATGATAACTTGAAATGTTCAATATAACAGATTCTTAGCTGAAGTGCCTTGTCTATAAACTTAGCAGTTCTGCTCATATGTTAATGCTTAAGAAGAAATAAGACAATAAAGCAATTTAGCTCTCAGTGGATTGTTCTTTCAAGTAAATCTCTAAGCCCAAAAGGGGCATACAGTTGACAATCAACCAAAACATGAGCAATATCTTTGGTGGCTGAAAAGCTGCTTATACACATCCTCTCATGATGTGGCAAGTGATGGAAGTGCCCATATTTGGTCATGAAATCCAACAGTTCAAATCTTGCTCTAGAATGGGCCTTCTTAGGAATTGCATCAAATTCATTGAAAGATGTAAGGATTATTTTTTTTTTTTTTGGCAATAATTTCATGTCGGTTTGGAGACTGATATCAAGGACACTCTGTTTAAAAATTTCCTTTGCCTTGGAGGCAGTTGAGAATAAATATAAGGTGGGAACCCCATACTGTAAAGTCAGTTTATCCAGGAAGTGGGCTGAATCATGTTCAACCAAACATATTTTGGGTAGCCATTGAATGGATCCTCTCCCAAGAAATAAAACTGTGATTATTGAGTGGCTATGTATGAGCCGAGGTGGCACAGCAGTTAGAGTGCAGTACTGCAGGCCACTTTAGCTGACTGTGTTCAGCAGGTCAGCGGTTCAAATCTCACCGGCTCAAGGTTGACTCAGCCTTCCATCCTTCCGGGGTAGGTAAAATGAGGATCCAGATTGTTGGGGGCAATGTAAATATATATATATACATTGCTTACTGGTGTACACCGCTTAGAGAGTGAATATCTCTTTCCCCTCTGATCATGAAGGCTGACATATTCTTGTCAGCCCCACTTTAGATTTGGTTTATTGTCTTTAGTGAATTGAGAATGCAATAGGTGTTTATCTTTTGCAGATAGTTTTCTTAGGCCTATTTGAGACTGTGCCATTAGGAACCTATCATCAACATATTAATATTTTATAAACATAACAACAGCATTTATACCATTCATATGGTATTCATATACCATTTCAAAGTGCTTTATAGCCCTCTTTAAGCAGCTTACCGAGTCAGCATATTGCCCCCAACAATCTGGGTCCTCATTTTACAAGCTGATGACATGTTTCTAATTTGTCATGGATCTTTGACATAAGAGTATCTGAAGCTTATAAGACTCCTGCAATGTCATTGACACAGATGTTAAAAAGCTTTGGAGTCCTGTTTAACATCTTTAAATCAACGGGTGGAAGCCTGCTAAAGAGAAATCCAACCTGAAACTAAGGAGAAATTTCCTGACAGTAAGAACAATCAATGAATGCCTCCCGGAGTTGTGGGTACTCCATCACTGGAGGTCTTCAAGAACATTGGACAACCATTTGTCCAGGATACAATAAGGTCCTCTGACTTGGGCAGGAGTTGGACTAAAAAACCTCCAAGATCCCTTCCAGCCCTGTGATTCTGTGAATCTTATGAGTAAGTA